TTCACAACAATAATTTCACTCACAAGATCTTGTGTTAGTTGGAACTTCAATACAAACGAGTTAGATCCGAGAAAATTCAATTTCCACTCGATCGGGAAAGGTTTCAGCTCAATTCACCCCCAAAAGTGGCTGCTGTTTCTCATCCATTTTACAGCTTTAGCTGGCAAAATACTGGTGGTTGTTTTGTTAATGATACTGGTAAACCATGACTTCTCAAAACAAATCGAGTTGGGATCATGCTCTCTCTCCACAGCAATACACATAATCACAACAAAAGACTCCGACTCTAGCTGTTTTTTTTGGTACTAAAGTTCTGTGGCTACTGTCTCTATACGTTTTCTCCTACTACATCTGCTTAGTTGTATTAGCAATATCGTTTACAACTATGGTTTTCTGCAGGGTGAAGGTATCTAGGAACAAACTTGATGCTTTCTTTGGTGGTGCCTACAACAGCACTGTACACTTTCCATTTGATATTGTCCTTCTTCAAAAACATTTCATGTTATACTGGACCAACCATCTACCTAACGCTAAGATGCTAACATTTGCTCTAAAGGTTGTTCCCTCACTCCTAGGAGCAACAGGAACAGCTATTCTCACGGCCATGATCAACACAAGAGGAGATGAGAGTTTCACTAACGTTGCTACAGGGATCATTCCATCTTATCTAACCTACACAGCTATAGCAGTAGACATAGTCCACCTAATAAGTCTCCTTGTAATGGTATATTGGGCTGATCCACAACATGTCCAATCTCTATCAGATGAGAAAATAGTAGACATCCTCATTCAGACGAAGAAAATCGACGATACTATCGACGTATCGTGTTCAAGGAAAGCAAGCGATATCATCAGGGAGGCGATTACAGAAATTGACAGTTTTGGCGTCTACAAAAAGGATATACAAGAAGATCTGTTAAAAGAGGCTAAGAAACCCTCAAGAGAATCTTACGGTCGTCCAACAAAATCGAAATGGGTGGAATTCATGAGAGAAGTGAAACAAGCATGGTATAATGTAATGTTCGAGTATGGGAATGTGGCGGAAGAAGACCCCGAAGAAGACTCCGAAGAAGCTGTATATCTTTCGGTGTGAAGTGTGGTCACTAATATAATGATCAATAGAAGACAATTCGTATCAAAGGCTGAAAGCTTATTTAAGTTATTTCATTCAATTTCATCCCATTCCATTCATTTTATCATTCTTACTCAAACCATCTATTTTGTTATATTCTCTCTTCGGATATTTAGTACAGAAAACTGGTCTCCTAACATCAACAAACTATGTATTTACGGATTGTTACTATTTCCATCTTAACCATTTGCGACAAAACCAACTTTATTATTGACAATTCAAGCAACTCATTGTTGTAACTATTGTTTTACGTAAACAATTTTCGACGATTGAACTGTTATACATATTATATCATAAGTGAATGTTTTTAAAGCATCATCATCTTTAAAACGACTTTTTGAAACTGAATTTTCTGACGCATGCAGAGTTCAGGCAACAAAACTTTGGGTAAAAGTTCTTTAAACACGGACAATTTTGGCATGAAATTTGATTTCATTTGAGAGACGGAAAATTTAGACACAACTACTTCTGAAATAAGCCTTTTTCTAAACCATTAATTATTTTAAATGAATTTAAGATTAGTTTGATTTTAATCTTTTATTCAACAAATCGATTGTTTACTAGATCGAGTTTACTATCGAGTTTACTATCATGAGATTGCTAATTTGATCTGCGATATTGTTTTATTACGTTTTTAGCAAGTATTTCAATGATATAATGTTATTGACCTTTTTAAAGAAATTACATTGTGTTTAAAGAGTGTTATGTCGATATTTAGAATCCTCTAGCTCAGCTGAGCTTCCCAAAAAACCGTAATCAACTTTTAGGAAACGTAACCTCATAAATCTAACGTGACGTCATGAATCCAACGCGACGTCACAAAAATAACGTGACGTCACAAAAATAACGTGACGTCATGAATCTAACGTGACGTCACCAAAATGACGTGACGTCATGAATCCAACGCGACGTCACCAAAATAACGTGACGTCACCAAAAGAAAGTGGACGTCACCAAAATAACGTGACTTCATAGAACTCACCAGATCGTCTTAGCACAGTCCTCAAGTCCTCATCAAATTCCTCCATGGAGTACTTGTTGTGCACCTTTATCTGGTAAACGTGAAGTCCGTTCATCCACGCTACGAACCGTGAGAGTGTTGTCTTGCCTGGATATAGAGGGTCACGTGAGCGTATATAGAGGGTACGTGAGCGAGAATAGAGGGTCACGTAGAGCTCGTAAGGATATAAGAGGGTCACGTGAGCGAGATATAGAGGTCCGTGAGCGAGGTATAGAGGTCACGTAGACGAGATATAGAGGGTCACGTGAGCGAGATATAGTGAGGGGGCACGTGAGTGGAGTTATGATAGGAGGAGTCAGTGAGCGAGAGTATAGGCGGGTGTCACGTGGAGGCCGTGGGATTAGCTACGTGGGGTCACTGTGAAGTGAGATATAGAGGTCAGTGAGCGAGATATAGCGGGTCACGTGAGCGAGAAAAGGGGTCACGTGAGCGAGAATATAAGAGGGTAACGTGAGCGTGATATTGAGGGTTTACGTGAGCGAGATATAGAGGGTACTGTGAGCGAGAAATAGAGGGACACGTGAGCGTAGATATAGGGGTCAGTGAGGCGAGAATATATTGTGGGTTATCCGTGAGCGAGATATGAGGGGCTGTGAGCGAGAATAGAGGGTCACGAGAGCGAGATCTAGAGGGACACGTGAGCGAGGATATAGAGGGTCACGTAAGCGAGAAATAGAGGGTCCGTGAGCGAGATTATAGAGGGGTCACGTGGCGAAATATAGTAGGGGGGGAGGGGGGGGGGGGGGGGGGGGGGGGGGGGGGTGGTCACGTGATGCGAGATAAGAGGGTCACGTGATGGTGATATAGAGGGTCACGTGAGCGAGAAATAGAGGGTCACGTGAGCGATGATTAGAGGGTCACGTGAGCGAGATATAGAGGGTCACGTGAGCGAGATATAGAGGGTCACGTGAGCGAGATATAGAGGGTCACGTGAGCGAGATATAGAGGGTCACGTGAGCGAGATAATAGAGGGTCACGTGAGCGAGATATAGAGGGGTCACGGAGCGAGATATAGAGGTGTCACGTGAGCGGTTTAGCGGGTCACGTGAGCGAGAAATAGAGGGTCACGTGAGCGAGATATAGAGGGTCACGTGAGCGAGATATAGAGGGTCACGTGGCAGATATAGAGGGTCACGTGAGCGAGAAACTAGAGGGTCACGTAGAGCGGCTATAGAGGGTCACGTGAGCGGAGATATAGAGGGTCACGTGGCAGATATAGAGGGTCACGTAGGAGATTAGAGGGTCACGTGAGCGAGATATAGAGGGTCACGTAAGCGAGATATAGAGGGTCACGTGAGCGAGATATACAGGGTCACGTAAGCGAGATATAGAGGGTCACGTGAGCGAGATATAGAGGGTCACGTAAGCGAGATATAGAGGGTCACGTGAGCGAGAGGAATATTTAGGGTGTCCTAAAAAGGCAATCATGTGTACGTCAAAAGTATGCCAAAATTACTGACAAAGGTTATGACAAAGTATGACAATGTCTGCAAAAGTACTGACAAAAGTACTGACAAAAACTATGACCAAAACACTGACAAAAGACTGACAAATTACTTACAAAACACTGACAAAACACTGACAAAGTACTGACAAAACACTGACAAAACACTGACAAATTACTTACAAAACACTGACAAAACACTGACAAAACCTGGACAAAACACTGACAAATTACTGACAACGTACTGACAAAACACTGACAAATTAGTGACAAAGTACTTACCAGCTCCGCTGACCCCTATAAGAAGAAGATGACCTTGGGGCTGTCTAAATATTCGATCTATCCTCAACACGTGTTCAAGGACCTCGTCAAACAGTACCAGGGACACATCCAGCTCTTCTTCGTAGAAATACTGTGTTAGTGAGTGTTAGTGAGTTAGGAGTGTTAGTGGTGTTAAGTGAGTGTTTTAGTGAGTGTTAGGGAGTAAGTGAGTTGTTAGTGAGTTAGTGAGTGTTAGTGAGTGTTAGTAAGTGTTAGTGAGTTAGTGAGTGTTGGAGAGTGTTAGTGAGTAAGTGAGTGTTAGTGAGTGTTAGTGAGTAAGTGAGTGTTAGTGAGTGTTAGTGAGTAAGTGAGTGTTAGTGAGTGTTAGTGAGTGTTAGTAAGTGTTAGTGAGTTAGTGAGTGTTGGAGAGTGTTAGAGTGTTAGTGAGTGTTAGTGAGTAGTTCAAGGAGTGGTGGTATCCTACGGCCATCGGGTGCATTGTGAAATGTTCAAGGCCTGAGTTTTTTAGGTGCTTTGGCCATTTTTAATCATGGAGAACGTTCAGCTGTCTACCTTGAACAATTAACATACATTGAGTATAGCTTTAACAAACCTTGAGTCTAGCTTTAACATACTCTCTAAGCTCCTCTTGGTCAACAGGACTGTAGTCCTTACAGAGCCAGTTGGAGTATAGAATGGGGCGTTTTAACGCTTCTGCGTGGTCAGTAGAAGGGAAGTGCTTCTTGGCTACCCCATCTATATTGTCGTTAGTCCACTTTCTCTCATCATCGTGGATTAATCTGGGGGATTAATTGATTAATTAATATGTTAAACTGGTGGACTTTAGATTAGTCTTAGACGTGATTGTGGATTTATAACCCTAAAGTGTAAATGCCAATTTCCTTTTAAAAGTTGCCGTTAATGAGAACTACAAATTAGCTAAAGTTTTAAACGGAAAATATCCTTTCTTATATCCAATAAATCCACAAACAAACATGAAATAAATCAGTCAAGATCTTCAAATCCGAATCAAAATACTCTAAGGTCCAACCTATCTTGGAAGAGCCGGAGAGCTTCATGAGCCCATATCCTGACCAGACCCTCAACGGGTAGCGACTCGACCGCGCGCAGCGCCTCAGCGATACCTCTAACCCATCTGGTCATTTCACGGGGTGAGTAAACGTAGTGAGGCTGGATGTCTTGGGTGAAGTTCTCTTGCGTCATCATGAAGGATTCTACCATGGCGTCTGTGAGAGGCTCCCAGTAGCCCTTGGTACGTTTGAGTTAGTACAGTTAAATGATGCATTTAAGGAAGTACATTTAAAGAAGTACATTCAAGTGATCATTTAAGTTAGAACATTTAAGTTAGTACTGCATTTAAGGAAGTACATTTAAAAAAGTACATTTAAGGAAAATGGTCTAATAAAGTTAAAGGTTTTGTTTATCGATACAATTTCATATGACATTTATCCTCCCTGTAAGGAAAAATTGAAGTGCCGAACGTTCGTAATCGGTCAATTCATGAACATCAAATATAAAGTTAAATTTTGTATTAAAATGAAATAATAAAACCAATCATACAATTACAACATGTTGCATGCTCACATAACATTAACAACAGCTACCTGTAGAGAAGGGACCATCCTGAGCATGGCCTGTTGAAAGTACCGTAGATCTGTTTAAGGGAGGCTGCTCCAGGGTAGTCAACATACACAATCGGTACGTGGCGTAGGAATCTGAGGGTCGTTAATTGGGTGAATTAGTTAATTAGCTAACTTTTCAATATCGTTTATTTTTTTTTTTTTTTCCTTTTTCTTTTTTTTTTTTTTTTTTTTTTTTTTTTATTTTTAAACTCAAACAACGTTGTCTAAACCCATAACTTGCTTGAAGCTTGGAATGAAACTTTAGATCATTCATTAGTAAAGTTTTAAGCAAAAAAGCAGAGATCTTGAGCATTTCTCAACCGCAAAATCACGTTACGTCACCATGTGACGTCAGGTCAATCACCGCACGTGAAAAGTCATGTCAACAACCAGTGACGTCATGTCCAACACCACGTGACGTCATGTCAACACCACGTGACGTCATGTCAACACCATGTGACGTAACCTACAACTTTCATTATCTACAAACCGTTGGCTGAGAGGTTTACGTCCTGGATCAGTAGGAGGGTTACAGGCTCCAACAAACTGAATCCTCTCTAGGGTCACCCACTGAAATTTAGATTAGTTATTCAAAATTAGTAATTAAATTGATAATTAAATAAGTTTTTATTTTTTCAGGCACAGCTTCAAAACCTTATCCAAACTTTCAGTGAAATATCTCTTTATTATTACAACGCCACGTGAATCTTTGGGGTCATCACAACACCACGTGACGTCACCACAACACCACGTGACGTCACCACAACACCACGTGACGTTACCACAACACCACGTGACGTCACCACAACACCACGTGACGTCACCACAACACCACGTGACACGTCACCTGCTGATCGGTAGTCCGGTAGAAACCGTTGTGTTCCACCATCTGTCTGATAAAGGAGATAACATGTTGTGTTCCGTAGCTGTCTTCATCGGGTAGGTTTATCTCGTCACAGAACAGTATCAACCACTTGTTCAGCTGTGGACAATTAATTAATTAATTAATTAATTGTAGTTAATTAACAAGTGGGTTAGTTAGCACTGGTAACTAATATGGATAATTTCGTGAATAGATATAAGATAATCGACGGATGTTCTTCCTATTCATTATTCAAGTTTAAGTTAAAATGTGTGCTAAATGAAAGCCACGTCATCAGATACATTGTTGATGACTAATTGATCAATTAATTGGCTAATTGATTAATTAATTGGCTAATCACTAAACTACTTTCTAACTTACTGAGATAGGAGACATGATGACACCATTAGGGGTTTTCCTATACTCGCAGTATTGGTCAAACGTCTTTAGGAGCAGTTCCGGGGTCGTGGCACACGAGAAATTCAGACCTGCAACCTGTAAAAGCAAAAATTATTAATACAAAGAATTTACAATAATATACCAATACATAATACACACTCCAAATTCCATGATAGAAAATTTGTAGGATAGAAAATGTAAAACATCCGTGATCTGAAGGCACCAGTGAGTTCCATAATAAGAGCTATACAATATCCTCACTGTATAACTATATCTACAGAAACTGATTACATCACAAAAAAAACGATATCTACTAAGAGAAATAACAAACAATTTAATAAAACTCTCAAACAATTAATAAACAAATTTCCAGACGGAACACTGTAAACCTCCATATCAGGAAGGACTCTCAGAGCACTGAAGAGTGTCATTGTTTTTCCAGAGCCAGGAGGATCACACAGCACTAGTGGTTTGTGTTCTGCTAGCCAACTGAAAATGAAGAAGTTTAATTAATAAAATACCCATAATAAGAGCTGTAGGGTTGAGCTTTTAGTAGATAATTTGTAGCCAAAAACGGATTTCAAGACCCATTTTAAATATTATCTACTAACATGATTGCATCAGAATAAGCTAACGAAACGAGTTTCAACAAAAAACAAAAAACAAACAAACCTGTATAGAATGTTCTCGTGTCTGACAGTATCAAGGGTGGGTACCACTACATCAGGTGCTCCCACTCTGTGTGTTTCCACTTCTATCGGTGGTACTTTGTTGGTCCACGGAGTCCAGTCTCCTTCTATTGTAGGCTGAAAGTTGATCAAATAAATTAAAAAATTCAAATTTTATACAGCCTTAAACCTCAAACTGGATCTAAACATCAAGACTCGATCTATTTAACCGAAAGATGTGGAATCTAAATCCTTAAACCCAAATCCCTTTGACAGTTATTCAAGTTACACGGTGACCATTGATTCTACCCCTAAAATATCCTAAAATATCCTAAAATACCTTTAAAATACCCTAAAATATCCTAACAATACCTCGTAATCAATAAGCGGTGTGGTACCACTCGGCATCTGAATGGTACTGCACGACCTCAAGAACTCTCCCAATTCATTCCTCACGCTCAACTTAGCGTCCCCAGTGAACGCCCAGAGAAGGGAATATACTACAAACTTCTGGCTGTAGGACTCTATTGCTTCTGGCTGAGAGGGTAAGGTGTTTATATTGGGTGAATTGTAATGGAAGTAAATTAAAATAGAAAGTCAGGTGTTTAATTTGTTGGACAATGGACCCGGTGCTATCCGAATATATTATTAAAAAAGTCGAAATAAAGTTGGACTTACCGACAGAGGGAAGTCAGAATGAGTGTTGTTGTAGTTGATAATCCTCCGCACGCATTCGTTAAGCATGGAGAAGAGGGATCCCAAAGCTCTCATTCTTGTCAACTCCATTATGTGTCCCTGTGTGAGTTAGAGTACGATTAGAGGGAGATAGTAGATAAGCGGATTTAAACTAAACTCATCGGTAGAAGGTGCCAAATGGAAGAAAACTGATTTACCACTACTTTTAACGCATTTATTTTTAAATGAGAAGATATAAATTAGCTCGGACGGCTGGAATGCCTGAAATATCTCACATCTTTCTTGAGTGCCCACTCCAAAGCCTTAACCACAACACCATCTGGAGTGAACTGACCAGACACCGCCTCAGCTACCAGTCTCTGTACTTCCATCTCCGGCGTTTCTTCCACTGTTGTGGTCTTGTTACTTGAGATACAGTGGATACCGTAGAATCTGAGGTTAGAGGAGTTGGAACACAAGGAATTGTTTTGACAGGGGGTTTAATTAGGAGCTAACATAATTACAGAAATTTTTGATCCAATGTTAATGATGATGAACGCGAACGATTCCTTTTTTATTTTTTGGCAAGGAAATTTTGGAGAATAATACTGGTTATAAATCAAGAGGCTTGCATATAATGAACATATTGACATGGGTGCAGAGTTGAGTCTGTACGGAACCTAGTAGTTTCAGTTCCTTGTTTAACTTGCCGTATGGGTGCAGAGTTGAGTCTGTACGGAACCTAGTAGTTTCAGTTCCTTGTTTAACTTGCCGTATGCTATGTTATGTCAATCTAAATAAAATGGAAATTTAAAAAATTCCAATCTCCATTCACCTGGCAGTATCATCAATAGGAACATTCTTGAGCCTCCGGACGTAGTTAGCAAAGAGCATCTCCAAACTGAGGACGTCCTCACTAAACCAGACCATGCCACACCGGGACACAGTAGCTAGTGTGGCGTACTTTAGGTCCTGTACCTCGAACATTATACGTACCTGCGGCGGTGCGGGTTATAGTGGCGTACTTTAGTGGTTTGGTGGCGTACTTTAGATTTTAGGTCCTTTTTTTGGTTCTTCATAAAAAAGAACGGGCCTTTATCTCACATTTCAGGAGAGGTTAATTATTCTGATTGGCCAGTTTTGTTATCTGATCAGTCAGACTCAACCACATGACACTACCTAAACCCTCTGATTAGTCAGACTTAATCACATGACACTACCGAAACCCTCTGATTAGTCAGACTTAATCACATGACACTACCGAAACCCTCTGATTAGTCAGACTTAATCACATGACACTACCGAAACCCTCGGATAGACTGATAACTAACATTGGGAGGTATGGAGAGTCTCTCTCCGTTGGGTAGTGTCAGAAGCTTGTTGTCGTCCAGCACGGAGTTCAGGTTCTCAACCCACTCCGGGTCCACGTCTCCATCAAATATTATCCAGTGTCTCTGGTTCAGTTCACCTGTGGGAGTGAGGGGATGTGTGTGTGAGGGGAAATTTGATATTTAATTATTCAAATTTATAGTCACTGTTTAATTTTATGTGGTTTCTTAATCTGGTCATGAAGATCTTAATATTGTTACAGCTTCGTAAGATCCATACAATGATGTATTTTTATCACACGACAAGAACAAAACCCTGTGACTGGTCACTTAATGTCATGTGACAAGAACAAAACCCTGTGACTGGTCACTTAATGTCACGTGACACACTCAAAACCCTCTGACTGGTCACTTAATGTCACGTGACACACTCAAAACCCTCTGACTGGTCACTTAATATCACGTGACAGACTCAACACCCTCTGACTGGTCACTTAATGTCACGTGACAGACTCAAAACCCTCTGACTGGTCACTTAATGTCACGTGACAGACCCAAATCCTCTGACTGGTCACTTAATGTCACGTGACAGACTCAAAACCCTCTGACTGGTCACTTAATGTCACGTGACAGACTCAACACCCTGTGACTGGTCACTTAATGTCACGTGACAGACTCAAAACCCTCTGACTGGTCACTTAATGTCACGTGACAGACTCAAAACCCACCTCTGACGTTATCAATGATCTTCCTGAGTATGTGAGTGAAGAGACCATCAGTCCACTCCCTGGTATTGGGGTCCATGGTCCCGTACAACACCTCCTTGGAGATAGCCTTAGGATCTATCACGTGACTTACACCTTCCTTACCTGGGGGTGGTTACCGTGGTTACCAGTGAAACAAATACATGTACTTAACATCACAGCAAATAACCAATCTTGAAATCTATCAAAAGTTGTAACTTCCTAACATATTTTCACCATAATAACTAAAGTAAGCTTTTACACGTGATGTATAAAGCTGAAGAATTAATAATTGTATTACAAAGAATGGGAAAGAGAATGGAGAATATTATCTCAGGAACACCCACCCTCATATCTGTTGAGAGCCTTGAGGAGGACTCTCCAAGCGGTACTCTTACCAGAACCACTGGGTCCCACCATCATCAGACCGTGACACAGAGTCGTTATCTGGAGGGGTCCATTAGTGGTTACTTGGGGATTAGTGGTTACTTGGGAATTAGTGGTTACTTGGGGATTAGTGGTTACTAGGGGATTAGTGGTTACTAGGGGATTAGTGGTTACTAGGGGATTAGTGGTTACTAGGGGATTAGTGGTTACTTGGGGATTAGTGGTTACTTGGGAATTAGTAGTTACATTGGGATAAGTGGTTACTTAGGAATTAATGGTTACTTGGGGATTAGTGGTTACTTGGGGATTAGTGGTTACTGTGGTTACTTGGGGATTAGTGGTAAATTGGGAATCAGTGGTTACTGTGGTTACTATGGGGAACAGTGGTTACTAAGGGAGAAGTCAGAAGTGGTTAATTTGGTTACTATGGAAGTAAGTGGTTAATAGAGGATTAATGGTAACCCGAAACTGTAGTTACTATAGGAGTAAGTGGTTACTAGGCGATTAGTGTTTAATATTCCACTCAACTATCCCACTGTACCTGGTAAAGCTGGAGAACTTTCTCGACCCAAGCTGTGCCTATCTCGTCGTTCTCTCCGTAAACTATTTGATATTCCAGACACACTTTCTTGATCTCCTCCCGGAGCCTCGTCATCTGAGATTGTGATTCGTCTGTTTTGGTCACGTGAGAGTGATGTAACCCTCCGATTGGTCAGGTTATTCACCTTCAAGACCAAAGTAGTTGTTACGCACAGTATTCAGGTTTAGGGTGAGGTTCTTGTAAATTCTACCCATCAGAATGTTAATATTCTGCAACTTTCTAAATTTCCCACACGTGTTATAGAATCAGGTTACTGTTATCGATAATAGAACAGAGCAGATAAGTTCCCAGGTCACGTGCTATGTCCCCCTCCTACGAATCAAACATATTTCCTGTTTTTTAAAGTATTTGACTCACATCCGCTCCTCTATACTGAATACCAGGGAATACATCAGACAACAGACTCTGAAGAAGAGGGATGTCCTCAGCTACCAACTTGGGTACTAGGGTCTCGCACACCGACTGTATCAGGATCTGTAGGAGGGATTGGGTTAGAATGTTGAACATTAGGAAGATACAATTTGTGCTAGGAATCCAACTTAAAGACACGTGTCCAAATCAAAGCTAAAGACGTGTGTTTAAAGACCACGTGTCCAAACCAAGGACACATGACCAAACACCACGTGATATGACGTCACAGTACTCACATCTTGTTCAGGAAGGTTAGCTCCGATATCACACTCAGCTACTTTCTCACCTCTAGCCGCGTTATCTTCTTTTATCTGATGAAATTATGTAAAATAATGTAATTTTCTTAATTTCAGAAAGATAAAATCTCCCCACCAGTTGTTGGAGCATCTCATTATGCACATCACTGTTTCATATAGGAGTAACTTTGACAAATTGTTGTGTAAAGACGTCAAGCACCGGTGATCGACCTAACCAGTAGAGGAAATGTAATCTAGGTTGCCGCTAACACGTTCTTATCTCCTTACTGCACCGCTCATAAAAAGTATTTTAACTGTTATTAATCAAAATTAAATAATAAACTTTAAAAATAAATCAAACAAACCCGTTTAATCCTGTCTCTCTTAACGTTTCCAGCTGACACCAGCACGGCTTTAAGAGCTCGTAAACCAAAGTCGTAGTGAGACTGCGAGGATAGCTGTTCTTGACACAACCTAAAACGGGTACAAGTTTTTACATTTGTCAGTTTGAAGGGCTGAAAAAGTTATGCTGATGTGCGTATATAGGAATAAATCAAGTAATCAAGTAGCCGCAAATTTTAAATAAAGCAACTGGTGGAAGTGGGTCAGTTGATTGTTCGGGGAGTCTGCTATCTGAGTAGGATGTTTCGGAAATTAGCTGCGAATCATGATACACTTACTTAAAGAGAGGTACAATCTTATTTGAGAGCATCTCAGCAGATCTGAATCCTTGTGAGTAAAGCATGACCTGAGCAATCAGCTGTCTGTTCGGCTGTGTCATCGCCAAACTGAGGGGGTTATTTGTTAGTTTACCCGCTTTCTTAGAGTGTATCGAGTACAATGACACAAGGTCAAAGGTCTTATCTGGGATTGTGTAATAGCCGATAGGCCGTGAGGTGTGTTAAAAAACTTGATCCCTCTCATGGCGGACATGATACGATAACGGTGACTTTTACCGCGCGCGGCAGTCAATTTGTGACGCGCGCGCTAATTGAAACCAGAGCGCGAGCAACCCTTGAAAAGATTACTGAGAAAGTTCATTTCGCGCGTGCTCTCCGGTTCATCTAACATGTGACCGTCCCATGGGCAGGTGGCAATACTCATCCGATAAGGAAGAGCTAATAAAATTTGTACCCTCCCTTGAACATCACAAATTTATCCTGTTGCCATGTAGCAACCTACAGCAAAATAAATTAAAAGCACAGAAATTTACGAAGCCGTATAGCAAACGGCAGCTCGTAACGAAATGGGCTCCCTACTCTGCAAGCATGAAATATATCAAACCTTCTGAATAGTTTCTTCAAGTTATCAGGCAGGTTAGATCGACCAGCGTAACCAGGATTCATGGTGATGAAGATAGCCATGTCAGTGCTAACCTTCACTTGCTTCCCAACCAGTTCGATCTGGATTGGTGCATCTGCGTCTGAAAAGTAGCTATTTTAAAAATCTCTTATCATACCAAATATACTGGAATTGTTTCTACATCAAATTACGGATCATTTATCATGTATCGAGTAAAACTTAGGATAGGCCAGAGGCGTGAAGATCGCATAACCGTCAAAAATATAATAGCTTCAAGAAAGATAAGAATAAAACGCTTTGTGAAATTATCTGAAATATATATTTTATATGTTAGGTACAGGTAGGGTCACAAAAATATGATATAAAACAAGAAATTGTGTAAGCTGTGGTCACAAAAAACAGCGCAACCAAAATTAAATGTACAAAGAAAATGTAAACTGAAACAAACTTAAAATTGAAACGACCATCAAGGCCTTTTTATCAATAAATATTTGGTAGTTTCCAAGTAGCCCGAACAGGTTTTCCCGAACAGGTGTTACCGAACAGGGTTAGGGTTAGGATTAGGGTTAGGGTTAGGGTTAGGGTTAGGGTTAGGGTTAGGGTTAGGGTTAGGGTTAGGGCTAGGGTTAGGGTTAGGGTTAGGGTATCCAATGGTGAAAAATTGTGTAAAATTGTGAATGATTTTTATGGTGAATCGGGTTTCCAAATTGTAAATTTCGCCATTTTCCACCATTTTTTCGAGAGTATATTTGCCTTTTAGTTTTAGTTTTGACCTGGTGTTATCACTCTAAAGCAATATATGGTTATTAACTCAGATTTTGAGGATATTAAACATGTGTTAAATCATTATATTTTTAATGTAAGTCTAGGTTTTACAATTCGGAAACTCGATTCACCAAAACTATTAATCATCATTTTTCATCAAAACTAGTGAACATGGTGAGAAAGGTACATTGATAATGGTAACGTTTGGTGAACTTGGCGAGTAAGGTACATCAAAAATGGTAATATTTACTATTTAGTGAACATGACGAGTAAGGTACATCAAAAATGGTAACTTTTAGTGAACATTGCGAGTAAGGTACATCAAAAATGGTAACTTTTGGTGATCATGGCGAGTAAAGGAGTAAGGTGCATCAAAAATGGTAATTTTTGGTGAACATGGCGAGTAAGGTACATCAAAAGTAGTAACTTTTGGTGATCATGGCGAGTATGATGATGAAAATCTAAATATTATAGGCTCGACAATGAGCATTTCAGTAACAACATGGCGAGTAAGGTACATCGAAACTGAGCTCTCGTCGTATAGTACCAGAATACACATTAATATTTCAATTTGATATTTCGAAAGTAAAACATTCAAATGGTGAAAAATGGTGAAAAATGGTGAAAAATGGTGCAGTATGGTGCAATATGGTGAAAAATGGTGAATGATTTTTATGGTGAATCGAGTTTCCAAATTGTAAAATTTCACCATTTTAATAACCCTAACCCTAACCTTAACCCTTACCCTAACCCTAACACACCTGTTCGGGAACAGCTGTCGGGCTACTTGGATACTGCCAAATATTTTTCGCATAAATTCTGGTTAAACTACAATTTACTTCTCATAAAACTCTGAAATTAAGTTACCTATTTTAGAAATTAAACCTATTTTAGAAATTAAACCTATTTTAGAAAAAAACACACTATTCCACAATCTATCTGAAATATATATTTCTATGTTAGATGTTATATTTGTTGTCAATATATATTTTTCGCATAAACTCTGGTTAAACCACAATTCACTTCTCATAAAAATCTGAAATTAAACCTATTTTATATCATCACACTGAAAAAACACACACTATTCCAGAATCTATCAGAAATATATATATTTCTATGTTAGATGTCATATTTGTTATCGATAAATATTTTTCGCATAAAATCTGGTTAAACCACAATTCACTTCTCATAAAATCTGAAATTAAACCTATTTTAAATCATCACACTGAAAAAACACACACTATTCCAGAATCTATCAGAAATATATATATTTCTATGTTAGATGTCATATTTGTTATCGATAAATATTTTTCGCATAAAATCTGGTTAAACCACAATTCACTTCTCATAAAATCTGAAATTAAACCTATTTAAAATCATCACACTGAAAAAACACACACTATTCCAAAATCTATCAGAAATATATATATTTCTATGTTAGATGTCATATTTGTTATCGATAAATATTTTTCGCATAAAATCTGGTTAAACCACAATTCACTTCTCATAAAATCTGAAATTAAACCTATTTAAAATCATCACACTGAAAAAAACACACACTTCCAGCACCTTAAAAAACCATCATTTTCACCGCTGAGTCTCAAGAGAAGGAGGATGATAAACCGGCACGTGCTCAGCAGGTGCCAACATTCCACGACCCCGGATCAAATCCGCCGCCCTCTCCGCCATCATCAACACCGGCCCGTTCAAATTCCCGCTCACCACACTCGGCATGATACTAGCGTCCACAACCTTCAGATTAGACACTCCGTGTACGTCCAACGTGACAGGGTCTACAACAGACATAGGATCTGTTCCCATTCTACAGGTACAGGAGGGATGATAAGCGCTGTCACCGTACTTCCGCACAAACTCGTCCAGTTCAGCATCTGTTTCATATCCCGGACCTGGCCGGAGTTCCGGACCACGGAACTCATCAAAAGCGGGCTGATTGAATATTTCCCTGGTTAACCTAATACATTGACGCATCTCCCAGCGATCCTGTTCAGTGTCCAGATAGTTAGGTTCAATAACAGGGTGATGTGTTGGATCAGAGCTCTGAAGTTCCAAATAGCCCCGGGACTCCGCCCTCATCTGCCCAACATGAACCTGGAACGCTTCATGGGTAATCTTCCCTCTCCCGTGGTCCAGAACCTGGCTGGGTAGAAAATGGAACTGAATGTCAGGGTGGGTGATGCCCGCGTGGGACCTGATAAACCCACCCGCCTCCAAATGCGCTGTCCCGCACAACCCGCTGCGATCGTAAAACCACTGTAGACCAATCTTCACCATATTATGCGGCTGCTGCCATTTGTACAGGGTAATAGGTTTTGTACACTCCTGCTGTACGTACACTTCCAGGTGGTCCTGCAGGTTCTGTCCTACCCCCGGTAAATCCACTGCAACGTCAATACCATGAGATTTAAGATGGGCCCCAGGGCCAACACCTGATAACATGAGGAGTTGAGGTGAGTTTATCGCGCCCCCGGACAAAATAACACTTTTATCTGCGCGCGCCAACTTCAACTCCCCGTCTTGTCTGTACTCCACTCCCACCGCTTTACCACCTTCAACCAGCACTTTCGTCACTAAACATCCCGCCTCAGCTCTTAGGTTAGACCGTGCTCCAACCTGCTCGTGTAAATGCCCCACCGCGGCAGAACTACGCATTCCTTTCCATGTAGTACTATCCATTGGGCCTACACCTTCCTGTTGGAACCCATTCAGATCATCAGTGTAAGGGTACCCAGCCTGCTGGCCCGCCTCAATGAAGGCATGATACAGTGGGTTATCCAGCTCGTGCCTTGTTACCCCTACTGGTCCGGATCCCCCTCTGTAGTCATCCTCTCCTAAAGAATGCTGTGTGGACTTCTTGAAGTAAGGGAGGCAGTTAGCATAGTCCCAGTCTGTAGCCCCTTCCTCGGCCCATCTGTCATAGTCCAGTGCGTGCCCCCGGATGTAGACCATGGCGTTCAGCGCCGAGCTCCCGCCCCAAACTCTACCTCGTGGCCAATACATCACACGATCGTTCATGTGTTTCTGCGGGGTCGTGTTGTAAAACCAGTTATACTTGTCATCACATAAATTATACATCAGCGCGCTCGGCATGTGGATCTTCCACATGAGTAACTTGGAGCCGAACCACGTGTCTTTAGGACCAGCCTCAAGAGACATAACACTGCTGAGGGTGTCTTCAGAGAGACGGTTAGCGAGGACGCACCCAGCGGAACCAGCTCCGACCACAACGTAGTCATGGTGGGATTCAGTGGTGTAGGTTTTTCTAGCGGTGAAGAGGGACCGAGATGGGGTTAGAGGTGAGAGAGTGGTTGGGGTGGGTGCTCGAGAGGGTGATGTTACAGGGAGATGAGTTGTTATACGGGTTATAACAGCTCTTGTTTGACATACCCTACTCAACATTCCTAGTAAAATAGTACCTGGTTAGAAAGTTAACAACGACCTGATTTGCGAGGAATGTGAGGAATTTCAACTCACTGGCAGTAGAACCATGTTCCTTGAGAGCTTCCTGGATGGTTTGAATTTGCTGTGAACAAGCTGATAACATTCTCTCTTCCAGACGATTGAACTCGTCAAAGCAACCCCAGGCTCCTACTTGACACAGTCCCACAAAGATACGACCCATTGCCTGAGGTTTTAGTAAATAATTATTTTGTTCGCTTAGAATCGCATCCTTTCATAATAATGTAAGAAAAGATTCGATACTTTTTCGAATCATGGATTAATAATAAGATATACGAAGTCTTTTTTCATCAATTAATCCACATTCAGTCACCTGGAAGTCGAATGTCTCGTCACAGTTGAAGACCAGAACGAATCTTCCGAGCTGGTTACCAAGAGCTTTCACAGACTCTGTCTTTCCAGTACCGGCAGGACCTGAACAAGTGAGGGTTTCGTGAGGGTTTCGTGAGGGTTCCGTGAGAGGGGTTTAGAGGGGCTGGGGCGGAAACTCGATTTAAACTGACTTAAATTAAGCAGAACCGAGATCTAACTATCTCTGGTATCCTTTTCACTCTTTATAAAAGAAGGTCGACTCGAAAGGTTCTTTTATTCTTTTAAAAATTTGTTAACTGGGTTAAAACATAAAACACGACTAACCGAACGGAGAACCCCCAAGTCGCTCCTCCAAAGCCTGCGTCATAGTCAGATAACACCTATCAGTTAGTGGGGTTTGTACCAGTTTGTCAGTTACACCCAGGTACTCAAACCCGTAGTTGAACTGGGCGTTTGCCATGCGGATGGAGAGTTGTTTTAGCACTTCTGGTTCCATGGGGTTGTAGTAGAACCTGGATATTTGGTGGAGGTAGTGTCAAATATATCCCACTGAGTTTCACTGAATTTCTTTCTTTATCACCTAATTTCACTAAATTTTACTGCTCCTCACTTAATTTCATCCTATTTTGAACACTCTTTATCACCCTATTTCACTAAATTTGACTCTTTATCACTAGATTTCACCAACTGCACCTATCCTTACCTCATCTGACACAGCCAATCAAAGGACTTATTACTTCTGATCTTATCAGCAATAAGCTGCCTCGTGACGTCACGCTGGTGAACCAGCTCTGTAATAAGTTGCTCCATCTTCTTACGTTTCACTGGCACTTGGTCCAACAGTACTCCGTCAGCGAGGATGTTCAGGGTCTCTTCAACCTGGAACAAGGGTTTTTATTAATATGATAATATTGAAGTTATGTAAACATTTTCTTCTATAAGTCTATATTATATTTTAGGCGGTGTGAAAATGTTTCCGTTAGACAAATAACAAGCATGGAGTTGATATCTAATTGTGATTAGCCGCCATGGATTTGACGCTGATGTTTCCGCGAAAACAAAGCAATAAAGTAGGAACTAATTGAAAGTCCTAACAGAAAAAAAAAGATAAAAAGAAACAAAAAAAACTTTACCTGTAACAGAACGTCCTGCATGACATTGAGATCCGCTCCACCATCAATCTTAGCGAGCGCGCTATCACAGTTCTCAGACCACGTGATCTGTGAGGCCAGCAGGACGAGTTGGGCCTGGTAGAGTTGGTGTTATAATATGTGCATAGTGTTTAATGTTTTCACGTGGCATGTTTTTACGTATGTTACTATCGGCAAATTATTTTATTCGCCCGATAAAATCGCAAATTAAAATCAATTACATATCAATTTTATTATAATATAATTGATTGATCTAAACGCACCTGATATTGCCCGATCCACTCCATGTATTTCTCCTTATCGAACACTCCATCAACTCTGAATCCTTTTACTCCGGACACAGCGTTCGACAGCAATGTGGCTAGTGTTAATCTGAAGTATTAGATGGTGAAATATAGTGAAATATACAAAAATTATAGTGAAATATATTGAATTATAAAATGTAGTGAAATATAGTGAAATATAGTGAATTATAATATGAAATCACCTCATCTCTTTCTCGAGCAGACCGAGCCAGTCGTTGATCTGTGGATGCTCAGCTATCACTATTGGATTCAGGAACTCCAACTGAAAAATAGGGTATGTTAATCAGTGCTAATTAGTGTGTTAAGTCTTCAGAATTTAATTTGATTAACTATAGGCAATTTCTATCTAGTCTTCATGCTTACAAGAATGAACATTTCTACTCAATCGAATTGAAAATGTAAACTAAACAATTGATCCACTTTTATTAGAAAATCAAATAATAATTTTTATTTTCTATTTGATAACCAAATATTTAACTTAAAACCAACAGCTACATTAATTAATTAACAAAATAAAAATCGATTGCAATAACTTTCACTTTTATTTGATAATAAAATAAAAGTTTGTTTTTTTTATTTGATAACCGAATCTTTAAAACTTTATCCGATAACTACATTAATTAAATAACAAAATAAAAACTAATTAAACACAATAACTTAAAATAAAAATTGATAACAATAACTCACATCCTCTCCCTCACGTGACGCTACTCCAGTTATTGTACTCTCATCCTCTGAGAGAGTTATAGTTGCAATACCAGCAAACATCTTACGGAAATGTTTCTGTATCTTCTGGACGCTCTTGCTGTTTCCGATGATGTCCAAGTAGATCCTCGTCTCCGACGAAGTAGAACCTGGAAAATTATGTTATTTTAACTAATTAATTTTAACTAAGTTAATAATCATTATTTTAGTTAAATTAATTTAAGTTAAGTTGATTATAAAGTTTTTTTACCGTAATTTTTAGAGGATGAATATTACTAGGGTTACAGATTGTTTATGAAGACTCAGTTTTTTCTGTTCGCGCGAAATAACGGAGTTAATCAATAATTCTTGATGGCTTTTGAAGGGTATATTACACAGTAACGCACAACCCTGACCAAGCATCTTGAAATCACCTTATCCAACAACAAAACATTAAGTGTCACACTGTGTGTGTCACTTAAAACTGTGACTGACTGTCACGTGGTACGTACTGTGACTGTCACGTGGTACTGTGACTGTCACGTGGTACTGTGACTGTCACGTGGTACTGTGACTGTCACGTGGTACTGTGACTGTCACGTGGTGCTGTGACTGTCACGTGGTACTGTGACTGTCACGTGGTACTGTGACTGTCACGTGGTACTGTGACTGTCACGTGGTACTGTGACTGTAACGTGGTACTGTGACTGTCACGTGGTACTGTGACTGTCACGTGGTACTGTCACAGTGTCACGTGGTACTGTGACTGTCACGTGGTACTGTGACTGTCACGTGGTACTGTGACTGTCACGTGGTACTGTGACTGTCACGTGGTGCTGTGACTGTCACGTGGTACTGTGACTGTCACGTGGTACTGTGACTGTCACGTGGTACTGTGACTGTCACGTGGTACTGTGACTGTCACGTGGTACTGTGACTGTCACGTGGTACTGTGACTGTAACGTGGTACTGTGACTGTCACGTGGTACTGTGACTGTCACGTGGTACTGTGACTGTCACGTGGTACTGTGACTGTCACGTGGTACTGTGACTGTCACGTGGTACTGTGACTGTCACGTGGTACGTACTGTGACTGTCACGTGGTACGTACTGTGACTGTCACGTGGTACTGTGACTGTCACGTGGTACTGTGACTGTCACGTGGTACTGTGACTGTCACGTGGTACTGTGACTGTCACGTGGTACTGTGACTGTCACGTGGTACTGTGACTGTCACGTGATACTGTGACTGTCACGTGGTACTGTGACTGTCACGTGGTGCTGTGACTGTCACGTGGTGCTGTGACTGTCACGTTGTACTGTGACTGTCACGTGAAACTGTGACTAAGTGTCACGTGATACTGTGACTGTCACGTGGTACTGTGACTGTCACGTGGTACTGTGACTGTCACGTGGTACTGTCACAGTGTCACGTGGTACTGTGACTGTCACGTGGTACTGTGACTGTCACGTGGTACTGTGACTGTCACGTGGTACTGTGACTGTCACGTGGTACTGTGACTGTCACGTGGTACTGTGACTGTCACGTGGTACTGTGACTGTCACGTGGTACGTACTGTGACTGTCACGTGGTACTGTGACTGTCACGTGGTACTGTGACTGTCACGTGGTACTGTGACTGTCACGTTGTACTGTGACTGTCACGTAAAACTGTGACTAAGTGTCACGTGATACTGTGACTAAGTGTCACGTGATACTGTGACTAAGTGTCACGTGATACTGTGACTGTCACGTGGTACTGTGACTGTCACGTGGTACTGTGACTGTCACGTGGTACTGTGACTGTCACGTGGTACTGTGACTGTCACGTGGTACTGTGACTGTCACGTGGTACTGTGACTGTCACGTGGTACTGTGACTGTCACGTTGTACTGTGACTGTCACGTAAAACTGTGACTAAGTGTCACGTGATACTGTGACTGTCACGTGGTACGGTGACTGTCACGTGGTACTGTGACTGTCACGTGGTACTGTGACTGTCACGTGGTGCTGTGACTGTCACGTGGTGCTGTGACTGTCACGTGGTGCTGTGACTGTCACGTGGTACTGTGACTGTCACGTGGTGCTGTCCATGTCACGTGGTACTGTGACTGTCACGTGGTACTGTGACTGTCACGTGGTACGGTGACTAAGTGTCACGTGGTACGGTGACTGTCACGTGGTACTGTGACTGTCACGTGGTACTGTGACTGTCACGTGGTGCTGTGACTGTCACGTGGTGCTGTGACTGTCACGTGGTGCTGTGACTGTCACGTGGTACTGTGACTGTCACGTGATACTGTGACTGTCACGTGGTGCTGTGACTGTCACGTGGTACTGTGACTGTCACGTGGTACTGTGACTGTCACGTGGTACTGTGACTGTCACGTGGTACTGTGACTGTCACGTGGTACTATGACTGTCACGTGGTACTATGACTGTCACGTGGTACTGTGACTGTCACGTGGTACTGTGACTGTCACGTGGTACTGTGACTGTCACGTGGTACTGTGACTGTCACGTGGTACTGTGACTGTCACGTGGTACTGTGACTGTCACGTGGTACTGTGACTGTCACGTGGTACTGTGACTGTAACGTGGTACTGTGACTGTCACGTGGTACTGTGACTGTCACGTGGTACTGTGACTGTCACGTGGTACTGTGACTGCCACGTGGTACTGTGACTGTCACAGTGTCACGTGGTACTGTGACTGTCACGTGGTACTGTGACTGTCACGTGGTACTGTGACTGTCACGTGGTACTGTGACTGTCACGTGGTACTGTGACTGTCACGTGGTACTGTGACTGTCACGTTGTACTGTGACTGTCACGTGGTACGGTGACTGTCACGTGGTACGGTGACTGTCACGTGGTACTGTGACTGTCACGTGGTGCTGTGACTGTCACGTGGTGCTGTGACTGTCACGTGGTGCTGTGACTGTCACGTGATACTGTGACTGTCACGTGGTACTGTGACTGTCACGTGGTACTGTGACTGTCACGTGGTACTGTGACTGTCACGTGGTACTGTGACTGTCACGTGGTACTGTGACTGTCACGTGGTACTGTGACTGTCACGTGGTACTGTGACTGTCACGTGGTACTGTGACTGTCACGTGGTGCTGTCCATGTCACGTGGTACTGTGACTGTCACGTGGTACTGTGACTGTCACGTGGTGCTGTGACTGTCACGTGGTGCTGTGACTGTCACGTGGTGCTGTGACTGTCACGTGGTACTGTGACTGTCACGTGATGCTGTGACTGTCACGTGGTACTGTGACTGTCACGTGATGCTGTGACTGTCACGTGGTGCTGTGACTGTCACGTGGTACTGTGACTGTCACGTGGTACTGTGACTGTCACGTGGTACTGTGACTGTCACGTGGTACTGTGACTGTCACGTGGTACTGTGACTGTCACGTGGTACTGTGACTGTCACGTGGTACTGTGACTGTCACGTGGTACTGTGACTGTCACGTTGTACTGTGACTGTCACGTGGTACGGTGACTGTCACGTGGTACGGTGACTGTCACGTGGTACTGTGACTGTCACGTGGTACTGTGACTGTCACGTGGTGCTGTGACTGTCACGTGGTGCTGTGACTGTCACGTGGTGCTGTGACTGTCACGTGATACTGTGACTGTCACGTGGTACTGTGACTGTCACGTGGTACTGTGACTGTCACGTGGTACTGTGACTGTCACGTGGTACTGTGACTGTCACGTGGTACTGTGACTGTCACGTGGTACTGTGACTGTCACGTGGTACTGTGACTGTCACGTGGTACTGTGACTGTCACGTGGTACTGTGACTGTCACGTGGTGCTGTCCATGTCACGTGATACTGTGACTGTCACGTGGTACTGTGACTGTCACGTGGTACTGTGACTGTCACGTGGTACTGTGACTGTCACGTGGTACTATGACTGTCACGTGGTACTATGACTGTCACGTGGTACTGTGACTGTCACGTGGTACTGTGACTGTCACGTGGTACTGTGACTGTCACGTGGTACTGTGACTGTCACGTGATGCTGTGACTGTCACGTGGTACTGTGACTGTCACGTGGTACTGTGACTGTCACGTGGTACTGTGACTGTCACGTGGTACTGTGACTGTCACGTGGTACTGTGACTGTCACGTGGTACTGTGACTGTCACGTGGTACTGTGACTGTCACGTGGTACTGTGACTGTCACGTGGTACTGTGACTGTCACGTGGTACTGTGACTGTCACGTGGTACTGTGACTGTCACGTGGTACTGTGACTGTCACGTGGTACTGTGACTGTCACGTGGTACTGTGACTGTCACGTGGTACTGTGACTGTCACGTGGTACTGTGACTGTCACGTGGTACTGTGACTGTCACGTGGTACTGTGACTGTCACGTGGTGCTGTGACTGTCACGTGGTACTGTGACTGTCACGTGGTACTGTGACTGTCACGTGGTACTGTGACTGTCACGTGGTACTGTGACTGTCACGTGGTACTGTGACTGTCACGTGGTACTGTGACTGTCACGTGGTACTGTGACTGTCACGTGGTACTGTGACTGTCACGTGGTACTGTGACTGTCACGTGGTACTGTGACTGTCACGTGGTACTGTGACTGTCACGTGGTACTGTGACTGTCACGTGGTACTGTGACTGTCACGTGGTACTGTGACTGTCACGTGGTACTGTGACTGTCACGTGGTACTGTGACTGTCACGTGGTACTGTGACTGTCACGTGGTACTGTGACTGTCACGTGGTACTGTGAGTTGTGACTGTCACGTGGTACTGTGACTGTCACGTGGTACTGTGACTGTCACGTGGTACTGTGACTGTCACATGGTACTGTGACTGTCACGTGGTACTTCGACTGTCACGTGGTACTGTGACTGTCACGTGGTACTGTGACTGTCACGTGGTACTGTGACTCCTGTACCTGGGAAAACCAGCTCGTTCTCTCTCCAGATACTCTCCCAGAGCTTTCTGTATCTTCTGAAGAAGGTCAGCTAGTCGCTCCAGGGACCTCTGCACTCCGTTGATGGTGATAACGTTTACTATCAGCGGGGATTTAACAACTTTCTTCATCAGACCCATGAACTCTGTGCTGATACTGTGGATAGTGGAGGGGTTACAACAAAATACCAGTGAGATTGTTAATTTGAAAACTGTTCACCGAAATTATTTTTATGAATACGAATTTATTATAGTTTACTTTGCAGGGTTACGGGGACAATTAAAATATAGTGAAATATAGTGAACTATAGTGAAATATAGTGAAATATAGTGAAATTTAGTGAAATTTAGTGAAGTCAGAAATATAGTGAAATATGACAAACCTTGCAAATCTAGAAGTTTCAACGGGCAGTAGGTGAGGAATATCCGCAGAACCACTGAAGATCCCATCCAGATACACCCATCTTCGCTGTACGTCTATCCACACGTCAAACAAGGCGTTTATACGGTTCAACTTGTCCTCCCATGCTAGTGCGTCCTCTTCAAACACCTGGTGTTATATTAGATCAGATCTCTTTCACTTACATTAGATCAGATCTCTTTCATTTACATTAGATCAGATCTCTTTCACTTACACTAGATCAGATCTCTTTCACTTACATTAGATCAGGTATCTTAAACTTACATTAGATGAGATCTTTTTCACTTACATTAGATCAGATCTCTCAAACTTACATTAGATCAGATCTCTTAAACTTACATTACATCAGATCTCTTTCATTATAATTAGATCAGATCTAGCATGACTACTGTATTGATATACTGAAGTTGAAACCAGACATAAAGTTTTAAAACGTTCAAGATTCTGAGCTAATTTTGTATTTTTACGACCTTGGCGTGATTGATCTTTAGCGGGGTATAAAAGCAGTTGCTTCATGTAAATAAAATTAAATTTTGGAAGATAATGCCTTTGGGAAGATAATGCCTTTACGTACATCATCGCCATAACTCTGCCTTATCAATGTATTCTTGTGTAAATATGTATTGATCCCGTTTGATGCGACAAGGAAAAATGCTCTTATCAGGAAAGGAATTACCTTGAGGCCAATAAATTTGGTTCACAATAAATTTGGTTACCATAATTTTAGTCGCAAATTTCGCAAATTTTTAGTCTACAACAATTTTAGTCACATTTTTCGACTTTTCGAGATCATTTTCGACGTAGTTTATGTCGATATGATCCTTCAGCCGTTTCAACAGAGCATACATAATGGGATGGATCGATTAAAAAGGTTATGTCCAAGAGGAGCGCGAGCTCTAACACTTAAAGTGCAATAGGACTTTGGTACGGTTTTGTGCAGTAGGAACGGTGATGTCATTAATAATGTCATTAATAATGTCATTAATAATTACTCATTATATTAATTATAAAGCCCTATAAACAATGTAAGCTTAATAATATTTAATATTCATGTCATACAAATGCTCTACTGAAATTCTGGTCTCCTTTAAAATTAGTCGCCGAAAAATTTAGTCTCATGAAATTTGGTTTACAACAATTTTAGCCAAAAGTTTGACTAAATTTATGGTAGACTAAATTTGTCGTTCTTAAGGTACTCAACGTTTCAATGTTACAACATCGTATTCATGATCTAAAATATATGCCTTATCAGTACAGATATATTGCTTAATAGATTCTTTGTTTTATTGGAGCTTTTTCGTGAGCTATGATACTTTTCGTGAACTATGATACTTGATATTTGTAGCTCTCAAAAAAAGTTCTCCATTACGATTTCTTAATGCATGTTCGTTGTTAAATCTGGTGCAACTGCAGAATCTGTTAGATCCCTCACCCAAATAATATACTGAATAAGCTAATTGAGTCATTAAACTTAACTCAAAGTCAAATTAAAGTTAAATTAAATTTAATAAATCATAAAAATCAAATTAAATTAAAAGAATTTATTCTTTTAATTTAATTTGAGAATTTGACATAAAAACCTTGTAGTAAGGAGACAACTTCATAGCTGACACAGAGTTGATATGCTCCCGGACACCATCGAACAGTTCATCCCACCCCTTTATAATTCTACACTTGTTTTGGTAGTTTATCAGTTCTAACTCGTAAGAGTTCCACTTCTCACGTACTTGCTTCAGGAACTCCTCCAGAGCCATTTCACCCTGAGGGAGGAGGGTAATTAGTCGGTAATTAGTCAGTAATTAGTCGGTCATTAGAGGTAATCAGTAGGGAAATTGAGAGCTATTATTTTGTTGATTGAGCATAAAGTTAATAATTGTTCGATGGATTTTTGTATCGAAACAGGCCCCACTTACAACCCCACAATAACGCACCTGAGCGGTTGTAATAATCTTGTTCACGATCAACTCGTTCTTCAGAAGATCCACAGCCCACACGCTGCCTAGAGTCAGGTCGCTCATAACCCAGACTACGTTCAGCTCCTTCATCATGCTCTTCCAGTGCCGTTCTTTGAGTGCTTCAGATTTCAGGGCTACTATTGTTTGGTTCACCTGGATAAATGTTATAATTTGAGGTTTTATTTGTTTACTTGAATAAATAATATAATTAATAACTTTAGATTACTAGTACAGCATATAGTCGTGTGTACTTTTTATGATCAATCTTGATAGTCTTTCTGCTGACAACTATGACACATTTTTCTGAAGCACAAACAATTTTTGCAACGAACTATTATAAAAAACAACTTTTTTACGTATTCTCACAAACCTTGATGAAGTTCTTCAGTACTTTAGTGACATAATCGTAACTACTATAAGACTTAAGTCTAGCTGGCATAGCTTTACATTGGGTGAGCAGCGCGTCAAGTCCAGAACGCACTTTACGGGGGGAGATACTAAGCCAGGGTTTCTCCTTCCACTCGTCAATCTGAGTTGTAGTGAAATATAGTGAGATATAGTGGGATATAGTGAGATATAGTAAGATATAGTGAGATATAGTGAGATATAGTGAAAATTGAATTATAGTGAATTATAGTGATATTATATATATAATATATATATATATATTATATTGTATTTCACCAAAAGGTTCTAAATCGCGCAAATTTGTAGGTGCACCTAATCACCGATTAGCCGATATACCTAATTATTATTTAATTATGTAATTATGTAATTATAATTATGTAATTAACTGATTCTCACCTGAACCCAGATAGAGCTAAGTTCACGCCACACTTCATTAAGATCCTTAACTTCTTCCAAGATTATCTCTAGCTGGTTGTCTTGAGCTCCACCTGAAGAAATAGGTTTAAAATTAATTAAATATCAAATTATGAATTACGGATTATTTAAAATATTATGTGATTGAAATAATAAATTTAATTCAAATTGATGATTATTTTTTAAATGCATTTTAAAAACCATAAATTATTAAAAAATAAATAAATCAAATCATTAACTATTAAATTTGTAGATTAATAAATTACCAGCGGCGCTCAGTTCTAGAGCCTCCTTAGCCTTGACAATGTTATCTCTTTCTTCTTTAAGCTTCAGGAACTTCTTCTCGAACAGTACTAGCGTCTGAAAAGAAAATTTAAACTTAGTTCACAAATAGATAAATTTATTATTTATTATTTTATCTATTTATAAATAAATGAAATCATGGCTATGGTTTTGTCAAAAACCAGATTATATCGATTTTCTGTAAATAAATAGATGTTCGATAATCAAATAGATCTCGCTTATCATATTCGGAAAGTGCTCTCTATTATCACTTCGAGATGGCCAGGCCTACTCTGTGCTCTCTATCTAATAAAAATAGCTTTTAATATTTAAACTAAAACTTTAATCGTTCTTTCCAGGAATTATTCTAATCATCCATTTTTTTTATTTGATAAAAAAATCGGTAAATAATCCAATTATCTAATTGTAAAAGTAATCGTTTGATTAAAATTCGTCTTCGAATGAGAATTTCAGGCACAGGGAAATAATGCCTTCATTTTTGCGTATAATACAATATACATTGGCGATCTCCCTCCAGAAGTATAATACAGTACAGAAGCGAGTGGGTTATTTTTACACTATTTTCACAACTACAATTAAATATATTTATTGACTTATTGAGGACCTTACAGAAGGAATTAATTTAATGGCGTTTCTCTTGTCGCTAATATGGAGTTAGATTCCTTATTGTTGAACCTCTAACAGAGGAGAGAGGAGACAAAAACTAATTTGGACCTTCCCCTTCAAAAAAATTTTTCTTCCCGGTGATTCTGCATAACAATTCCCACCAGCCTGCTCAAGCGGATTCTCAAATATTTTTCTCAAAAATTCGATTATTCAAAAATTCCCCGGTAAATCGAAGATAAAAATTGAAGATATTTATGTAATGATGAAAAAGTTAAGATTTATAAAACTCTTCAACTGCTATATTTTTGCATTCCACACCACGTGCACGTGATAATGTGAAGGTAAATAATATACGCAAATATAAGATATAGGCTTGTGTCCATGCAACATAAAGCAACTCCTCAACACGTCGACGCACTTGGATATCGTGCGACATAAAGGCTTCAATTTGGTCACGTGAGCATAAAGTCACGTGACCGAGGTATTTTGAAATTCACACAAAGAAACCTCTCCCAGATGTAAATAGAGTATTTTGGGAGGAGTTGCTTGAAATATAACCAGTATTTTAGCTCCGCCTCCGGTCTTTTAAACTTTTAAAAGATATTTATAGTCATGTGGTGCGAACGTGTGCTCTTTTTGTGAGAAGTTTGCTTTTTAAGTCGAAGAATTGCGGCCATTTTGAATATTTTGTACCATTATCTTACCAAAGCGATCCTGTTAGCAGCTGTTATACTTTCTCCGCACGCTCCTCTTTTTTGAAACATAAAAATCGCTGGCGGCCATTTAATATATTTTAACATGTTGCCCAAGTTTGCGATAGGAAATAAGGTCCAAGAGATATGCGCTTTAACATATTACCATTCTCCTCGAATTTATTTATTTATTATTGTATTCAAGGTAAATATCTGCAAGTAAAGCTTGGGTTACCCGAATATTGTTAAAATTATTGTTTGCAGGTATGGCGACTGTACTGACTGCAATGCTTGTAATGATACTGGTGGAGAGTCGGGATGGGTTTGGGGGTGAAACACCAGCACCTTCGCTTCAACAAAACAGTAAAATTGATTTTAAGCCACAGCCCTTGGAGGAAGACGATGAAATTGTTCGTTGTATCACTCCAAGATACGTGAAGGAAACAGCCGGTAACCTTATCTACTCCTTTAGAACAGTCGGTATCCATCAATGCTGGCTTTACTGTAAAGCCCTCTTTAGGTGCCGTGTTCTTGCATTCCAGAGCCTGACTGGAATTTGTTATCTCTACCCAAAGAAGACAAACACTATCACCAATCTTGATCCGCTGAAGGTTCACCTCGAGATCTAAGAGATCCGGGATTTTTAGTTTATTTGATTTTATTTTTAGTTTTTTTGATTTATCATGAGATTTGGACAACCAACTTTAAGTTGAAGCTAAGGATATTAATATATTAGCCAGATTAACACATGACAAATATGGCGAGTTTTACAAATATTTCACAAATATTAAAAATATTTCACAAATATTAAAAATATTTCACAAATATTTCACAATTAATATTACAAATATTGCGAGTCCCACTGTCTGTCCACAAATAACCACTCATAATCTCCTCCAGCACTCTATTGAGAAATACTGTATGGAGACAATAGAGAGGAACACAGAAGGAGCTAGCATTCTTGAAGCAGTTTCCTTGTCTAAAGGAGAAGGCTTCCTGATCCAGCAGAGTCTGCTAGAGGTAACAATTCATAAGATTTTTCGGTCTAACACTTCAATATAATTTATAAAATAAATTCTTGGTAGATGTTGCCTTTGTACTGAACATGAAGGATGCCCCTGGGATGCCCATACAAGATCCAGGATCTTTTGACAAGGCCCCCTTCTAAGGCCGGATATGTACTTTATTTACCCTAATGTACCAATATTACAAGGTGTCCTGTCTGAGAAAGGGTAAGAGGATGATAACTGTGGAGGAGGAGGCAGTGGAGGAGGCGATGGAGGCGGTGGAGGAGGCGGTGGAGGAGGCGGTGGAGGAGGCAGTGGAGGAGGCGGTGGAGGAGGCGGTGGAGGAGGCGGTGGAGGAGGCAGTGGAGGAGGCGGTGGAGGAGGCAGTGGAGGAGGCAGTGGAGGCGGTGGAGGAGGCGGTGGAGGAGGCAGTGGAGGAGGCGGTGGAGGCGGCGATGGAGGAGGCGGTGATGTTCAGTGTTAACTGGAGATCTTGTGTTGAAGGTAAATAAATAAATGAAGTCACATTTTAACAGCTTTTTTATTTAAAATTAATATAGATTAGACGGTGTTTTTACAACTTTGTAAAACTAAATTAATTGTGATTGATTCTTGTTTGTAGCTTTAAATACAGATCAAAAACCTTTATGGTTGAATCTAACTTTTATAATTTAGATCATTATTAATAAACCATAACTTGTTTCCACAAACTGTACAATGCATCTCCCCCAGGAAGCACTTGGAATCTCCAAGGAGTGCCCCACAAACAGAACCTGATACCAGAAAAAATGTTTTATCAGATTTCCCTATCTGAAAACCCAGGATTATGCCTACAAAGTCTCGACAGTGCGGATGGAATGTCAACAGCAGTTCTGACAAAATGTCGGAAATTCACGGGGAATGACACTGACCCTCAGGTTATGTTCGTGAGGATAGACTTAGATCACGTACCAAGGCCACCTCATGGACCACCCATCGAACGAAAGTCTATCTACTCAATATCCGGGATAGGACCTCTACAGTTTGGTTCGGAAAGAAACCTCAACATCATGTTCACGGGAGAGGAAGTGACCTCCACAAAAGCCCTCCAAGGTTTACTTTTCAAAGACCCGGCTCATTACCAGGAAACTCCACCCTTGTGTCCCATATCACAGTTCTCTGTCCCACACAGCACAGTTAGAAACACGGACAACCGCCCCTTCTTCCTACCTGGAGACCAAGTAGAAATACTCTGTGACCAGGGCTACGGAGTGAAACGTCTCAACTACACTGCTCTACAGACCGTGGTGTGTCCAGGGGAGGATACACCAGGGAGGATACACCAGGGGAGGATACACCAGGGGAGGGTAAACCAGGGGAGGATACACCAAGGGAGGGTAAACCAAGATACTGCTCCAGGATACTGCCCCGGAGGATCTCCTGCCAGGGGAAGCACAAGGAGAAGAAGAGGGTGGAGTTACATTATTTATTTCTGGTAATAGCTATTGTGAGTTCGACTATAGCAGTAGGGTTGTTGGTGGTGTTGGTCATACGGAGGAGGAGGGAGGAGGAGGTGGAGGGTATGGCTACTAAAGAGGAGAAAAGTGGTGAGAAGAGGATTACAGTTTGAATGAGAGACTTTGATTTTTTGATGAAATGGAGAATTTGAGGATGGATTTTCTTTGTAGAAGCAGACTTGGACTTCTCCACTCTACACCAGTTAGGGACTCCAAAGATAGGGAAGATACATAAGCGCATTTCAACGACAACGCCAGTTAAGGGCGAAGAATTTACATAATATCATTGATGGTTTTTTTTTAATTAAATATTTTTCAATAATTATTAATTTGATTTAATTTTCGTATTTTTTGCTGAGCTGCATTTCAAGCTGCATTTCATTCTTGTGTGAATTTCCAGTATAAGAAATTCTGCTAAAAATTCGATTATTTGCTCCATTTGATAAATATTTTAGTGTACTTTAAATTAAACCACGTGACAATATATTCATTTTAAATATATTCAAAGAGAATGCGCGTGTAATTTCCGAGCGGCTTAATCAGGAAAACGGCTAGAGTTATGGGAGTGATTTTTCCGGTATAGTATCGACAAAACTCTGACGAAGCCAAATGAGTTAGGTTTTTCGAATTGGTCGGTGATAAGTGGGTAAATTGATGTTTTTGTACCGCAAATGTGACATAAAATGGCTAACTTTTTCTCCCTCTTCGCTCTTACTCCCATTACTGCATATTATGTATCGTTAACACATTAATCATAATTAGGTTAGCCGCAAGATTCACTGTTATGTAATACTATAAGCTTATTAGAGGGGAGGGCACTCATTGCGGTCTGTTTGGTTACACTAGTATTATAATACTATCATCATGTTTTGATGAACATCTAAATATTCTGAATCAATGATTTATAAGAAGCTATGAATCGATGATTTATAAGTTACAGCTATGATCGAATATTAAAACGCCTATAGCTAAATGACCTAAATATATCAAAAAAAAGCTTCACTTTAGGAATCAATAAAGCTATCATGTTTGCTTTATTTAAAAAGCTAAGATATTTTAAAAAGAATCGATGATATTATATCAGTGTATGTGAGGCCTGTACTATACTTACACACAAAGCATCCTTAATATCAGAATGTTTGATGTGTCCCTGTGTAGGTTAATTCAGAGGAAAATAGAAACAGAAACCAAAGAACAGAAACCAAGCAATTAACGGTTAAATGATTATAAATTATCATTATCAATGTTTAAAACGTTATAATGTCATGTATATCCTTAATGTTGTAAGAAGAGGTCTGCCAAGATTTTGCGATACAAATTTTTTAAGCTACAATAGCTGAAATAAAGGGATTAAGGTGGTCCATAATAAACGCAACATCGTGGTCATAAAATGATGAAAAAACGCTAGCTATTTCCAAACCCCTCCCTCTGTGCGGGCTCACGTAATACAAATAGTAATATCCACACTTTGCAGCTCATTAATATTCAATAAGTACAAGAAAATCTCCACATCGACATTGCGTTTATTCTGGCCCACCTAAAACAGTTTAAACTCACATCAAGAGCGTTGGAAGGTTTGATGTTGCCCTGAATGGGCTTGTTCAGGTTCCACTCTCCCAGAAGATCCTGAGTCCGAGCTGCCAGGGACTTGTCCTCTGACATGATCCGTTCTTGTAGTTGAGATACCTGGGGAGGCGAGGGTAAATTGCGGGGTAATTGTGGGGTAATTGTGGGTAAATTGTGGGGTAAATTGTGGGGTAAATTGTGGGGTAATTGTGGGGTAATTGTGGGGTAAATCGTGGGGTTTAAATTGAGTAGATGTGGGACTGTTTAGATGTGATATGAACGTATTTGAAAGATAGATGTGGAAAGTGAATTGTGAGATTATAATTTATTATAATTCAGATCCAGATATATGAAACAAGAAATTTAAGCTTGGAACATGAAGTCAATATTGAGCTATTTATTAACATAGACTACCACTAACCTATTGCTGGATAATTTGTATTCATTTATTTAGTATTCTATTTTATTTTTTCACTAACCTGTTGCTGAATATGACTGTCCTTCTTCTTGAGTATAGCACAGAATGCATCCCACTCACCCTCCACTTGGTCAGTGTATATCCAGTTGTTGGGGAACTGGTATCTCTGTCTTTCTAGGATACGCTGTCCGCTTGTGAACGTCTGGGGGAATGGAGTTAGAGTCAATATAATATAATATAATACTTACACACTTTGTATTTACACAGTTACACGCCCATTCGACCAAACGTTGAGAAATAAATGGGCATGGGGTTTATATTTCTCCGTTCTTGATTTCATCGCCTACCGTTAATAAACCCCTAGTGTTGTTTTAGAACAGTTCGATGGCCGCGTTCAGTAATTACGATGGACAAGGTAATTAACAAACGCGGCCGAGGCGAATGAATAGCTAATTGGTTATTAATGAGGCGAATGAATAGCTAATTGGTTATTAATGATAAACTCTTTAACAAGTTACCCTCCTAATACAACACATATTGTAGTGAGTCTGTACAACACATTTGTTAATACTTTATCTCTGTCTGTAAGATGAGGTCAATTCTTATCACCTCCATTTTAATCCCTTTTTTTAAGAAACACGACCAACACGATAAGTAATAAGTATCTGTTCGCTTGTTATTTGATATTCACAGTTCCTATGCATTCAGGGCATTCATGTCACGAGGTAAGACCCCAATTAGCTGTAGCAGTTGCGGAACACCTAATTCTTGAAACATACAACATTTTCTGCATATTCTTAAAATTTATACTGCATATAGTTGCACGGAATCACATAATTCATTTTTTTCTCTGCACATTTTAAAACTTTATACTGCATTCCTAAACAAAAATTCTCACCTCAACACATTCCTGCCACTGTCTCATATTCCTCTTCAACTGCTGGACGTACGTGACAAACTGGACTGCCTCCGCAGTACTGGACGTGTCCAGGGAAGAGGACTCCAGGTCTGTACGTGCCTTGTTGATATCCGTCTGGAAGCTCCCCATGCTTTCTCCCAGCATTTGTCCTGGAATTTAAGGTTTTGTTGTGGGAGGCTGAAGATTTATTTTCCATTCGGCGAAGTGCGAACATTGTTTGTTTTTCTGCCCGCCAATATTTGGCCCTATAATCGTACTGCAAATGTAGCCAAATGAAACCCATATAGAATGTTTAGTAAGTTTATAGTAATCTTAGTAACCTGAGAAAGCTACAGTAACCTATAGTAACTAACAGAAACCAATACAAAAGTAACCAATAGTAATCAAGAGTAACCAACAGTAACCTACCGAATCTAGATAGGATTTCCTTGTGCCAGGTATCGTACTTCATGTTGATCTTGGTTTGCACCTGACTGTAGTCCACAACTAACGGTCCAAACTGCTCCCTTGTCTCCATCTTATCTATTGTAAGTCTGTGCTTCCTGGGTAATTGGGTAATTGGGTAATTGGTTAATTGGGTAATTGGGTAATTGGGTAATTGGTTAATTGGGTAATTGGTTAATTGGGTAATTGGGTAATTGGGTAATTGGGTAATTGGGTAATTGGGTAATTGGTTAATTGGGTAATTGGGTAATTGGGTAATTGGTTAATTGGGTAATTGGGTAATTGGTTAATTGGGTAATTGTGTAATTGGGTAATTGGTTAATTGGGTAATTGGGTAATTGGGTAATTGGGTAATTGGTTAATTGGGTAATTGGTTAATTGGGTAATTGGGTAATTGGGTAATTGGGTAATTGGGTAATTGGTTAATTGGGTAATTGGGTAATTGGGTAATTGGGTAATTGGTTAATTGGGTAATTGGGTAATTGGGTAATTGGGTAATTGGGTAATTGGGTAATTGGTTAATTGGGTAATTGGGTAATTGGTTAATTGGGTAATTGGGTAATTTGCAAATCAGTTAAGTTGTAAAAATACTAATCGGATATTTAGCATCGATTATCAAGGGAATTGATTTAGATCCGACTTGAATCAGAGACATTCCCTTACCCCCGGCCCTCACCCCTCCTACCAAGTCTACTATAAATTTGAAGGGCAATTGATTAAGATTATTCCTATTAAGCAATCCTGGTAAACATTATAATATTGTTATCAAAATAATGGTGATAATTAGAGGATAACCACCGGTAATCCAACAGAGACCTTATCTACAGTGGTAGGGATATGAGAAGTTCAATTGGCGTATTATCGCCCTTAAGGTCAAGTTCGGAGACAACCTGTACATTTTTTACTTTTTTAGAAGTGTGTGGTGGAGCCAGCTCAACACAGAATGAAACTCCCTGATTATATGGCTGACAAGACATTTTTCAGAACTTTCTCTCAGTAAAAAAAAAAAATTAAAAGGTTGAACGGTTGAGCAGATACAGGTGGTTTTAAACAAACCCTTAAAAGGTGGAGATTTAAGGTGGAGACTGGCTCTGGTTGAAGAAACTTTTGATTAAGGTGGAAAAGGTTATTGGTAACACAAACTACATCAAATTTGCAATCTGATGGTTTTATCAATATTTTATTTAAGTGCTCAACCGAGGTGGAGAAATTAAATGCACTTTTCAAAGCTGCTCAACCGGGGGTGGAGAAAGGTTTAGAGAGTTCTAGGTTAGCTAGAAAGTTGCGTCTCGGCCTTTTCTACTTCCCGTTAAATTTTGTTTTTTCCATTGACTCTCAACAGGGTGGAGATCTTTCATTAAGAAACAGTAAAAACCCTGTCAAACATGCCTAAATTCATTGGTTTTATCACTAATTCTAATCTGCTCTGTTAACTGCTACTGTAGGGGATCATAAAACTGTTATCCCTTCTGTCTTAAAGCAAAGTGTTCTAGCAAATGAAAAAAACTATCAAAGTTGTGAAAAGGTGCTCAACAAGGTGGAGAAATTGTTGATTGAACATTAAAACATTAAAAAATGCATTAAAATTGCCCCCACCGGGTTGAGTTGAGCTTTGGCAGTTGATTTCTGGAAGAAATAACATTGGGTGACCCTTTAGCATGTATACAACTCATAAAACTAGCCATCAACCACTCAACCGCGGTGGAGAACCTTGACTTCTGAGGTCAAATTTACGCCAAAATTTGCCAAATTTGAGTCTCCACCTATGTTGAGTGTACTTTTCAGCAAGGATGCCTTGTAATATGAGTTGGTAGATGATTTAGAATCATTGGTATTGCAAATGGACTGCCACAGTCACTCTACAGCTCCTTAACTACAGAACAACAGATTTTGAACTGCATGTTATGCTGTCTCCACCTCGGTTGAGCCGATTCTGAGGATCCTATTCTATGAAATATGATTGGTATAACCCATAATATTAAATATTAGGACTTTGGAGCAATTAAAAAGCATGAGAGGGTTAGTTCTAGTCACTTATATTAGCTCATGTAGTCAGTAAGCTGCTCCACCTGTGTTGAGCAGACAAACCTGCTCAACCGGCACTTTTTGAGTACCCACCTGTCTTACGTAACTTTAAATTGTGAAATTTGGAGTAAATATTTTTTTCATAAGTGATTTACAGCTCCTTTATTTTTGTAATTTTCAGGTGGCCACTGTCTCCACCAAGGTTGAGTTATTTAAATTTTGAACCCAGATATCATTATAGAAAGGTTAGGAGTATAATATCTGAAGAGCCTGTACCCCTTGGACTGTCAGAGGAATTATAATTAATTTTACCGTTTATGGCAGTGAAATGAGTGTAATTAGTGACTGATTTTATGTACAGGTTGTCTCCGAACTTGACCTTAAATACGTATCATTAACATCTTATTATCGCAATTCAAATCTTTTATTAGTTATTCATTGGCTATCTTGGTTGTCTCCCCCTTGATAGTGTTTGGCTCACTATCACGTGTTTTATCACGTGATAGTTTTTGGTTCACTGTCACGTGTTTATTGTTTAAACACGTGACCCCATCAACATTAAGGTAAACCACGTGACAGCTAGATTCACGCGTGGTTCCGCCAGCAATGGGACCTGGAGCCGGTGTATAAATTCTTTATATTAAAAGCCACGTTTCTTGTCTTGGTTCGTCAAGATAACCGTGTATTATTTCAATTCACTCGTAGTTCATACGAAACCTTGCTGACCCCGATAACATTATGATTACAAACATTCCCCTCATCAGATTCTGTAGTCTGCTCGCCAAGTTCCAATTACCTCTCCATAGATTCCTGGACTATTCTCACAGTACCCTGCATCTAGTTACTCAAGTTTTCAGCCTACCATGATTTCCCTAATTTCAAGAAAATCTTGTTCGTGATATTTGGGGTCACGTTTTCTCCTACAAGGTCTGTTCTAAGCTGCAGGGAGCTTTTTTGCGTACAGAATCTGCACACAAATCATATTACCACAATCAACCACCAAATTAGAGCGGGTAACTTCGTTTTGCAACCCGGCCGGAGTAAATCAAACCCTTTCAGAGCTCATCTCATATTGATTGCCTAGCAACAAGTGACCTGCGGAACTCAGCTCTGATTGGCTGCCTAGCAACATGTGACAGGGATCGTCTTCTTTGATTGGCCGGTTCTCCAGCAGATCTATCGGCCTCTTTGAGCTGATAGATTGTGCTGAATTAGATTCTCAGACAATAACCTATGGATGCTGACCAGAAAATAATTTAGAAAATGCGATTACAACCCACAAATTCGTTATTTAAGGGTTCCCATGTTTGGCTGAATATTAAGTTATTCAAACTTTAGCTCCGTATAATCGAGTTAAGGTGGGAAAAGGAACACTTTATAAAACTGGTTCATAACGCGTCCCGACACGTTCAACCAACCAATCAGAGCACCGTAACAACACCACGTGACACAAACCAACCAATCAAATCACAGTATCCGCACTACGTGACACAAACCAACCAATAGGAGCTCAGTATTTGTGTGAGTGGTGAGAAGGAACACTTTATAAAGCTGGTTCATAACGCGTCCCGACACGTCCACCGTTCGTATGAGGGCCAGGGGTGAGAAGAATCTGAATATTATTATCACAATATTATTCACCGCAGCCCCTTGCACACTTACAGTTCTCCAGTTTCATAATGTTGTCTCGAGCTTAACTTGAATATTATTTTTGTGAGCTGTTAAAATCGTGGAGGATTTATGTTCGCTCGGACTCTTACACCTTTGTTTAAATTCGATCTTCACAAGTTACAAGAACTCGTTTTGAACGAAACAACTTTTTCTCCTTTTTTTGATATGAAACCTGCCAAAACCGATGGTGTCTCCTTCGGAATCTTTTACTCGCATTGCGAGGGTGCTCCAATGGTGTAAAAGGAGGTCAGGATTCCAAACAACTTAACACAGCTTTTAACTCACAACACAACAACGTCGCACAACTTATATCTCACAGCTTATATTTATAATTCCCAACCTAAAACTCAACTTCTAACTCCCAACCTAAAACTCAACTTCTAACTCCCAACCTAAAACACAACTTATAACTCCCAACCTAAAACTCAACTTCTAACTCCCAACCTAAAACACAACTTATAACTCCCAACCTAAAACACAACTTATAACTCCCAACCTAAAACACAACTTATAACTCCCAACCTAAAACACAACTTTTGACTCACAACCTAAAACACAACTTCTAACTTCCAACCATCAGGATGTTTAAGCAAACTCTTGTCCTTATCCTCCTGGTCGGACTTATCTCCTGCGCAAGGGAAGGTGCGAAAAGCCGCGCTAAAGCAGCAGCCAAGGCTAAAGCTAAGGAGGCAGCTGTTGACAAGGCTAGAGGTAATCTTAGTAGGGCGAACTATACATAAATAAATTCTAACTTTTGTAACACGATTCGATAAATTGCTATATAAAATATGACTTTATTTATCTTTTATTTATTTAGGAAGAGTAAAAGGAAAAATAATAAATACAATTTTATTTTATTAAATATTTATTTATTTAGAAAGAGCAGAGGGTAAAAATAATAAATGAAATTTGATTTTATTAAATATGTATCTATTTAGAAAGAGTAGAGGGTGTTGATATAGAAGCTGTCAAAGCTAAGGCTAAGGGAGGACGTTTCAAGGAACTGGTTGGTGGCAAGAACTTGAACAAGAACAAACTTATGAAAATGGGAATTCATCTCCCAACCGGTATGTTTATTTATTGAGGACGTTTTTTAGTTGTGGTTGTTGTGGAATCGCAAAAGTTAGGGTGTTGTTTGCATTTTTATCTTTAATGTTGCTATAAATATTGGAAACTCATCACAGAAGCTATCTATTGTTAGTTGCACTTTACACATATAACTAGAAAGCCCGTGGTCACAGGGAGGAAGCTAATAGTATTCTTTGCTTGTCAGATTTTATCCGTCACAATCGAAGATACAGCCGATTAAAATGTAGCTCGCACTTAACACACCGTAATTACCACAAAACCGATCAAAATGTCGCAAATATTTGCACGTGCGCGTTCAACACCCTTAATTGATACAATTTCAACTTTTCAACTAGAATTGACTTTAAACTTTTCAACTAATCCACATTCCCCAAGTTTAAACTTTCAACAATTCAGGACAAAAAGCAGCACCCAAAGCCTGTACCACCGCACCATTCGGAGAGAGCCCAGGAATGTCAAAAATCCGAAGGAACGGCAAAGACAAGTTCTACGTCTGTGCATGGGTAAACTTCCAGCACCATGTTGGGGAAGATAAGGCTACTCCTGAGTACACCTCGGACACTGTTGATATGAGGTCAGTGTGGAGAAAGGGGGGGGGGGGGGGGGAGGGGGGGGCGGAAAGGGGGGGGGGGGGGCTGGGGAGATTTTGTTTAGAGTATACTACTGCTATTGTTTGGTAAATAGCAATTAGGTGTATTCTCTAACTCTTGGAGTAAGAGAAGTAACTTTAGCAAGCTGAAACACTATAATTGATTATTAATCATTAATTAATGATTAATCCCCAACAGGTTTGATCTCTTCAAGTCCTGTGTTGATGAAGTCAACCGTCTTAACAAACAGAAAGACAGCACCAGCACCGCAGGTAATATTAACAGCAAGTTAACAGCAAGTTATAATCAGGAAGTTAACAGCAAGTTAACAGCAAGTTAACAGCAAGTTATTGAAACAGTCAAGTATTAATTTCTTGTTAATATAATAGTTGCCTTGTTAATTTAATTAATTATTATTATAATTACATAATTAATTGTTATCCAAGATCTCAGAACCCAGTCTAAGTTATTGTGTTTTTAACTGCAAATTTTATTTATTTTTGAAGGTGATATTTCTTCAAGGCTAACTTGATGTTGTTTTTTAGGAGTCAACTTCTTCTGTGACATGACTGAAGAAGAGAAACGACCTTACTTCAACGGACTTGTCATGCCTGAGGCATAAGTAATTAATTAATGAAGTAATTAATTAATTACTTGGACAATCAACTGAGAACGTTACAGTTTAGTGAATCGGCATTTTGTTTATTCAATTCGTGATTACATTTAATTTCATTTAATTACATTTTAGAGTTTTAATCGCCATGACATATAAACTTACCCATTAATTACATAATATCGTTACATGTATTCATTTTTTAATCATATCAGAACAAATTCAAATGACATTGTTTTCTTTGTAAGTAATTTCCATAAAAAAACCCATGAATTGTGATCCAAATTCAGTAATTATTTTGAACCATTACGAAGATATAATCCTAAAAGGGTAAGCAGAGAGTTGCAATTGAACTGTGCTGAAACTTGAGATAAGATAATAAAAACGGAATTAATATTAAGAAACTATTACGTTTACGTCATATTTTTAGATGATGCTTATAAGACGTCATATTAGAAATTAAATAACATAACTGAAAGAGAGTTCTTAAAGCATAATAGTGATAGTTAGTAGTATAATGAGCTTTCAAACAACATGTTAATCGTCTTAAGATAACATACCTGGCCTAATAATAACTTAATATGAATAACATAATACACATTGGCAGTGCTGTCTGTGGGGACCCAGGGTTTTAGGATGGCTCAAATGCGCAGTCCTACTAATGATAAGAAATATTTAGCACAATTTACGCAATATTAGCACAATTTACGCAATTTTAGCACAATTTACGCAATTTATCACCTAATAGTTGCTAATGCAGAGATTGTTTATGACAAGTCGAGTCTTATATATATTTGATTCATTACATGCAGACATGCAGGGTGCACATTTTAGATTTCTCATAAATCCGGTTTTATACAGGCCAAGGTTCGCGGGTCCGGTTTGGTTTGCAGATTTGATGCTTTGATTTTCAGTGTTTCGCAGAAATGTATTGTTTTAGTAAATTAGAGCTTTTAGCCACAGGTACTGTTACTTTCGGTTCAGATGCTATATAAGCTAGCCTTTATGCCTTTATTTTAGCCTTTTCTAAACGCACACTCTTTTCCCAACAATTCTGAAGATCAAAGTTACTAAATTGTTGTGAAAGTGAACTAACTTGATAACTTGTGAAAGTGAAAGTGAACTAACTTTATATCATTGAGAAGTTTCTGCCACAAGTTAAGATCCTCCCCAACTCTGCTACAGATCACTCCCATGTCCATATCCCAAAGAGACTGGTAATTCAGCCACACGCTGCTGTATTTGTCCCCCTTGTCCAGGCAGTCCTCTATTGCAGTCAGACATTCGGAGTAGGTGGTAACTGTTTCTCCACAACCTGGGGTACAAGAACTTACAGTCACGTGACAATAACTTAGTCACGTTATAAGAACTTAGTCTCGTGACAGGCTTTGATATTTAAGATAATCGTAACGTTACATCTGGAAAAATTAGACCACGTTACATAATTACGTGATGTCAAAAATGACAAGATATGTTCATGCTGCATGTTCGTTGTGCGTTGTAAGAATATATCATAAAGAAATGACACCACGTGACGTCATCACAACACCACGTGACGTCATCACAACACCAAGTGACGTCATCACAACACCACGTGACGTCATCACAACACCACGTGACGTCATCACAACACCACGTGACGTCATCACAACACCACGTGACGTCATCACAACACCACGTGACGTCATCACAACACCATGTGACGTCATCACAACACCACGTGACGTCATCACAACACCACGTGACGTCATCACGTGACGTCATCAAAGCACCACGTGACTACTAACCAGTAAGAAGGCCCCTGTGAGTTGTATCCCCTGCTGCTACCTCAATACCCACAGTGTATCGTGTACTCTGTAGAGTGCTAAGACCACAGATTGTACCAACGTATCCGTTCAGGTGATTGGTCAGGATAGCACGTGACTTGTCAATTGGAGGATGCACAGTGATCTCCTGTAAAGAAATTTAATATATCAGAATTTAGCATACAAGGCGTTATATTGATATCAAAACAATTTGAGTTGATAAATCCGATTCGAAAACTGTTCTGACTGATTGATACAATTTTCAATTACAGTCGATTTTGAGAAACTTGGAAATAAGTGCGATTTTACACTTCCCCCTCGAGGTCGTAGCAACACTGCACAATGCAACACCACGTGACATCACAACACCACGTGACGTCACAACCCCACGCGTGACGTCATCACACAACGTGACATCACCACGTGATCACGTACCTGATTAACTATCACAACATCGTGAACCTGACTGGGAATATTAGGTTCCCCGCCAGGTTTAAAGAAGCCGGCCCCTAGCTCTGTTGCATGCTCCTCAGGGGTATCCTGGTCGGAGGAGTAGTTGATGAGGGCACCGTGCCACGCCTTCATGCCGGCCACTAACCGTCCTGTTAGTTTCTCTCCGACCTTGAATGGGAGGTAGTGTTAGAAATGTTTTAAAATGTTTAATACATTTTATTTTTGTGAATATATTTATTCAGGACGTTTCAAAAGGAATTGATTTAATGTAGTTGGAGGAGTCCTAACTCTCCCACGTCCGAAAATGGCGTTTTTCTTGTATCAAATATAAGTGATTTGAAGTTTAGTGGTAACGAGTAAAGGTGAGCAATAAGCATGTTCAGTAGAAAGTAGTGGAAAAAATTATTTAGAATTATGCCAAATGTCACCATGGATAAATTGCATTTAATTTTATATAAGTGTGCATTTAAGTATAGAATTAACAACAAAAGCATTATTATTTTGCCTTCAAAAATCTTAACGTTCTGATAAGAGATGGCAGTTTCACCTAAATCCAGCGACTCCAGCCTCTAACTCACCCTCTTGTCCAGGTTCTGAACCCACATCTGCAAATTCGTGTAACTCTGCAGATTCAACTGGTCCACATACTTCTGCACCTGGTCCAGGATTGCGCGGAATGTCTCGCGCTTGTACGCGCACGTCTCCAGTGCGCGCACTTCCACATCGATCCTCTCCTCGATAGCCATGAGGTCATCAACTTTCTCTTGCAGGTTGAGGACTCCTTCTGCTAGCTTCTGAACGTAGGGGTCCAGTTTGTAGCTCTCCCATACTAGTGCTATTCCCTGAGGTCAGAGCGGAGTTTTAGGGGTTAAAATGTTGATGTTATGTGGAATTGTTATTAATTGTGTTTTCTTACATTTTAAATTGTGTTAGCATGTGTTAGTGTTATCATACAGAATTGGATAATATGGTCTTTCTTTCATTATTAGGTGAATTATCTATAATCTTATAATTTGGGAACTTTCACTGTCAAGTTCAGATTTTTAAGCTGGTTACAACGATTATTAACAATTGTTCTATTTCAAAATGAAATTAATTCTCAACTGCTTTATAATAATAACGTAATAATTATATAACAAATACTTAATTATAAACTTACATCAGAGATGATTGTCTGAACCTCCTTCTTGAGTCCAGCTACCAGGGGAGCAATACTTTCTCGTTCTTCAACCTGGACAAAACAATGTCGAATATTTGTCATGAATTGGCGGACAAAACAACATTCTGTAACATGACCACTAACCATTATATTAAGGAGAAACGAAAGTGAAAGTGAAAGTGAAACTATAATGACACCCACCTTCTGACAGGTCCTCTCGTAAGATCTCATGCTCTCAATCAGAGATATAGCAAAGGGGTAAAGCTGGTTAGCTTGGTGGGCCTTGTTAACTATTGCTAGTTGTACTCGGAAACCCAGCCATTTCAGGTTGCGGACCTGCGCAATTTTAATTGGATTAAGATAATTGTTGAGTGATTAGTCAATAAACTACTTCAAAACTATGATTCATATTTTTCACAGAATTAAAGAAGCCTAAACTCTGGAAAGTGCAAACCACTAATTGCTAAAGTTAAAAAGCATGAAAGAAAATAACCGCTGACTTAAATATTTACCATTTAATTGCTGTATAAAATTGACTGTATTATTTATTAATTTATTAACCGCTAAAAATCGAAAGCTCCCAAACTGACCTCTTTGCTGAGGGTGATAACCTCAGGGTGGAAGTTAACGTTCAACTAGTAACCACTAGAAACCACTAGTAACCACTAGTAACCAATAGTAACCACTAGTAGTACTAATAACCACTAGTTAGTATCCACTAGTAGTACTTATAACCACTAGTAACCAATAGTAACCACTAGTAACCACTATTAGTACTAATAACCACTAGTAACCAATAGTAACCAATAGTAACCACTAATAAACTGACCTCTTTACTGAGGGTGATAACCTCATGGTGGAAGTTAACGTTCAACTAGTATAGTAACCAATAGTAACCAATAGTAACCACTAGTAACCAATAGTAACCAATAGTAACCATTAGTAACCAATAGTAACCACTAATAAACTGACCTCTTTACTGAGAGTAATAATCTCAGGGTGAAAGTTAACGTTCAACTTCTTGATGTTCTTCCCGGACCTGTTTCTTTGTTGCTGGATAGAGAAGATATGTCCGGATACTCCCAGGTTACGCTGTATCACCTGGGGAGATGAGGTTAGAAGTGAAAGTGAAAGTGAAAGTGAAAGTGAAAGTGAAAGTGACAGTGAAAGTGAAAGTGAAAGTGAAAGTGAAAGTGAGGAAATTTATTTGAAACATGTAATTTGTCACGTCGTGTCGTTACAGTTAGGACAACAGCTGACATCAGATGAACCACGAGTTTGATGGTCTCTTGTTACTTGTACAAAGTATGAGGGATGAAAATCAGAATTACCTTAGCTTGCCAGTCTTCAAATAGTTGCTGAGTGTTCAGCTTCTGTCTAAAACTGTCTCCATCAGCTTTCAGCTTCTGTCCTTCCACGTGACGTTCCCATGTCTTACCTGAGGAATGAGATAACCAGTAAACGACCGGGGGTAGGATTTGGCCGGGGCCGGGGCCGGGGCCGGGAATGTCCAAATTTTGCCGGGGCCGGGAATTGGCCGTTCTGGAATTTGGCCGGGGCCGGGGCCGTGAATTTAATAAATCCACGGCCAAGTTAGAACTTTTCAGGACTTAGGATCAGATGAAAAACAAAGGACTGCTCTTGAAAGTTGGCACTCTGGACATCATCCTTTCAAAATTGAAAATCCATTTTAAGATTTATATGAAAGTTTTAGGCCGATTTCGATCAAAAATTCCCGGCCAAATTCCCGGCAAAAATTGAAAATCGGCCGGGGCCGGGGCCGGGAAGAAATAGCTCCCCCGGTGCCGGGATTTCACGGCGCTGGGAATCCCGGTCGATTACTGGAGATAACATTACTTTCACTTTTATTTGCACTTCCACTTTCATTTTCTTTATCAAAAATAGCTACATGACTCATATAGCTTCCAAATCTGAGAAAAGAATCCTAACAGAAATGTTTAACTCATGGTTATTAGTAACCACTAGATAGTAACCACTAGATAGTAACCACTATAATAGTAACCACTATAGTAACCACTAGATAGTAACCACTATAATAGTAACCACTATATTAACCACTAGATAGTAACCACTATAGTAACCACTAGATAGTAACCACTATAATAGTAACCACTATATTAACCACTAGATAGTAACCACTAGATAGTAACCACTATAGTAACCACTAGATAGTAACCACTTTAATAGTAACCACTAGTAACCACTGCACTAGTAACCACTCACCCAGCACATCCTCGACCCTCTTCAAGTACATAGTGAGCTGCTGATCTATCTGTCTAGCCCATATAATACTCCCACTCACGGGAGGTAGATCACGTGTCTTGCTACCCTTGCTAGCTGCACTGTGTGGGTATTGCACTTTAAACTTGTCGTGCAGGGCGTCTATATCGTCCTGGGGGTAATTAACAACAATTAGTAGAGGTTAATTAACAGTTATTAGAGCTAATTACAAGTTTATTTATTGATCAGTTAATTCAGTTTTGGAGTCGTATCAATCATCGAGAAGAATATTGTAGGAGTGTTTACAGTAGCATCAGATAACAGAGAATGGGATTATAACCCCGAAACGTGACGTCACCATTACAACAATCACGTGAAGCGTGACGTCACCATAACAACAATCACGTAAAACGTGACGTCACCATAACAACAATCACGTGACACACACGTGCTGCTTACCTTAACTCTCTGAATCAGCTGAGTCTGATACTCCCTGATAGCGCCCCTGATTCGCTGTCTGACAAAGAGTGCGTTGAAGCGAGAGAAGATACGGAACATCTCGTTAGCGTTCTTAGCAGCTCCTAGCTGGTCCCTGAGACGAGCTGTGATCCTTGTCTCAACCTGGCAGAGATTAGAGTTGTAGATAAGAAGTAAACACTGTACAATTACATTCAGTACTGCTCTAGCTATTATAGCAAGTTTCTAATTTGCACATTTATCAATTTCCAGGAAAGTAATAAGATAAGGATAATTGTCGTTAAAAAATAAAAAGACAGCAGTTATTTAGAAAGTTAATTATTATCGATTGGTTATACAAATTTGAGTAACAAGCAGTGCGTTTAATGTGTAGAATGTGTGTTGTGTGTAGGATGTGTGTAATGTGTAGAATGTGTGTAATGTGTAGAATGTGTAGAATGTATGGAATGTGTGGAATGAACCTGATCTATTCTCTGCTCGTATCTCTTCATAGCATCCTCCCACTGCTCATTACCGTCCTTAGTAGTGTCCAGACAGTCCACCTCCTTCACGTTCTCGTACGCTAGCTTCACCTGCACACCAAGTCATGTCAGTAACAATAAAAAATAGAATTTAGACATTTACCCAAGAAAACATTTCAACTATGCGACTTATAAATAATATTCCAATTTGGATTTTACAGTAACAAGTATGTAGTAACTAGTATGAGAGTAAATAAAGAGAGTTAATAAAAATATCAAATATTTCCCTCTGTTAATATAAGGGGGGCCCCCCCCCCCCCTGTTAAGAGAATCAATTTTCATTCTTATCTTAACAAAGAAAATATTTAATATTTTACGTAATTCGTTTTTTATTTTGAATATCTAAAATACCTCGTTAACAGTGTTGCTGTCTGCGAAGTCCAGGTTCTTCTCCGCGTTACTCCCGCCACTGTTATCGCCCTGTTTCTCCCCAGAGTCGTCTGCCTTTGCTTTGGACTGGGTGGGACGTAGCACACGCACTATTACTGTGCGGAGCTGCTCGTGTTGGCGACGGAACCTGGAGATTTAGTGAAATTTAGTGAGATTTAGTATAATTTAGTGAAATTTAGTGACATTTAGTGACATTTAGTGAAATTCATCGTGAATGTATTGGGTTAAAAGATGTATTGATTGGTAAGTTTAATGGTATGTAGGACTGGGTGGGACGTAGCACACGCACTATTACTGTGCGGAGCTGCTCGTGTTGGCGCCGGAACCTGGAGATTTAGTGAAATTTAGTGAGATTTAGTGACATTTAGTGAAATTTAGTGAAATTTAGTGACATTTAGTGAAATTCATCGTGAATGTATTGGGTTAAAAGATGTATTGATTGGTAAGTTTAATGGTATGTAGGACTGGGTGGGACGTAGCACACGCACTATTACTGTGCGGAGCTGCTCGTGTTGGCGCCGGAACCTGGAGATTTAGTGAAATTTAGTGAGATTTAGTGACATTTAGTGAAATTTAGTGAAATTTAGTGACATTTAGTGAAATTCATCGTGAATGTATTGGGTTAAAAGATGTATTGATTGGTAAGTTTAATGGTATGTAGGACTGGGTGGGACGTAGCACACGCACTATTACTGTGCGGAGCTGCTCGTGTTGGCGCCGGAACCTGGAGATTTAGTGAAATTTAGTGAGATTTAGTGACATTTAGTGAAATTTAGTGAAATTTAGTGACATTCATCGTGAATGTATTGGGTTAAAAGATGTATTGATTGGTAAGTTTAATGGTATGTACTAGCCACTAGGCATCAGCGTGAGCACTTCACTCCTTAATCCTTATCAAGATATTGTATTTGTATGTTTAACAGGCCTTGCTACGAAATGAAAGCATCTATATCTTAACCTGTAATACCTGGTTGTATTACTTTCAACAGAGTGTAACACACATTGCAAGCAAGTACAATGTTACGGTAATCTAATTAGGGTGGGCTGTGGGGGCGACAATACATGGTAGTAGCAGGGTGAAAGTAGGATAAATCCGGTACAACAATACCCGGCCCTGCTGTACAGTATGGGTGCGGTTAAATTTGGGTGCGGTAAAATTTCGCAAACTATGCGATCCCACGTCCCTTCTAATAATATCCACACAATAATATTAGTTCATTTATAAATTTGGTGTCTCTGTCAGTGGAAGTGTAAGTCCTGAATCTAGCTAGTTCACAGTTATATTTTTATATACGGGCAAATTTAACAGTATTAAAATCTTAAAATGTACAATTGAATGTGTATATACATTACACATTTAATTTTACACATTGTACATTTTATACATTGTACATTTTACATTGTATACATACAATGTAAAATGTACAATGTGTACGTGCTATCAGCGTGTATTTCATATTTAACAGGTCTTGCTGGGAAGTAGAGGCTCTGTGTTACTCCTTATCAGCATGTGTATCACTAAAACAGGTGTTCTGAAATTTGATTGCCGTAATAAAACTGCTTTTTGAGTCACACTTTAAATGCTGCTTGAACAGACAGATAAGGTTGGGTCAGATTAAGTAGGGTAGCAGGGAGGAGAAATATAACAATACCCTGAGATGCTATAATACATGACACGTGGTATTACATTACACGTGGTATTACATTACACGTGGTATCACGTGGTATCACGTGGTGCGGTTATAATACAATCACGCTTTGTGTTTACTACATAGAGCATACACTATAATACAGTATACTGGGTGCACAATTTCACCAATACGCACAGTATTCAGCGTATTCCACGACCTCGAAAAGTTGGCTTCTAAAGTTGGAGCAGTCAACTATTCGCGACGGACAGGGTATAGGGAGTATTGGCACTATATAAATGTACAGTGTTAACGGGAGGTAGTGTGATAGTACAACATCTTATCATCATCTTATCAGTCACGTGTCAGTTAGGATACATGGTGCAAGTGTGTACGTGCAGTAGCAGTACTTTATCCCCCACTAGCGTACACTGTACTGAATTATAACTGTGTACACTGTACAAAATACACGCACAGGAATGTATACGAATGTTAAATATCAGGTAAATTTGGTAGCGATGAGAATCTTAGGTGAGTAAGTCCATGACGACTTACACCTCGTCGGATATTTTAGTGAACTCGATCACATGGTGAAATGGCAAAGTCACCAAGGACCACCGAGAAAACATAAGCATCCTCAAACACATTTACTCACGTTCAAATATTAATTTACAGCTTATTGATAACATCAATCTAATTATTAATTAGTTAATTAATTAATTGAAGAAGACTCACTTTCTCATGGCATCGAGTCTGTTCTGTAACTTCTTGTGTGCCGGATTAATACGACACATCATACGCATACTCTCTTCTCGTCGGTTTCTTCTGCTGATCTCTCTCAGCAGCTGGTTCACCTGTTAATTTAGGTAATTGGTTTATAATTGGGTAATAATTGGGTGATAATTAGGTATTAACTTGGTAATAATTATCTATTATTTTTTTAGGAATGTGGCGTGGACTGGGAATCAGGATTTCATATCAAATTCACATTATGTCAAGGAATTGGCTATAACTGGTTAATGATAATTAGTCAATTAGAAAATAAGCAAATTAGTCAATGACTGCATTAATAAATACATTAACTACTTTATTAGTAAATAAGTTGATTATTTACCTTCTCGTACTCATCGTCCCATGTTTGGAACACATTATGCGCCAGAGCCATGGTCTTCTCAAACTCATCAAACGTGATGTGCATCAGTCTTCGTGTTCCTAGAACCTGACAGTATTGTTCGATTCTTAGGACAACGATTGATTTAAAATATAAATACAAAACTAAATAAATTAAAACGATTCTGAAACCTAATCATGTGGGAATTTCTTCCAGTAGATCCACTAAATATGAAGTGGCTTGATAAAGGCAATGTCGAACTACACTCTTCAGTCAACAGTAATCACAGTAATATTAATTAAGAACCAATATATCAACATATAAACTTATTATTATTTTATCATTAAAGGAGAACGTGAGGTGATACCTTGAGGAGCTGGTTGGTGAGATCTTTAGAAATAGCCTCTATCAGCTTCAGGGCTCTTTGAATGGGATACTTGGTCGTTCTTATCTTCTTGAGATGCGTGAATATTGCAACTGAAATTGAAAACAGAGATTTGGTTACTTTAGACTTTTAGATGAGTGAATATTGCAACTGAAATTGAAAACAGAGATTTGGTTACTTTAGATGGGTGAATATTGCAACTGAAATTGAAAACAGAGATTTGGTTACTTTAGATGGGTGAATATTGCAACTGAAATTGAAAACAGAGATTTGGTTACTTTACACTTTTAGATGGGTGAATATTGCAACTGAAATTGAAAACAGAGATTTGGTTACTTTAGATGAGTAAATATTGCAACTGAAATTGAAAACAGAGATTTGGTTACTTTAGACTTTTAGATGAGTAAATATTGCAACTGAAATTGAAAACAGAGATTTGGTTACTTTAGACTTTTAGATGAGTAAATATTGCAACTGAAATTGAAAACAGAGATTTGGTTACTTTAGACTTTTAGATGAGTAAATATTGAAACTGAAATTGAAAACAGAGATTTGGTTACTTTAGACTTTTAGATGAGTAAATATTGCAACTGAAATTGAAAACAGAGATTTGGTTACTTTAGACTTTTAGATGAGTAAATATTGAAACTGAAATTGAAAACAGAGATTTGGTTACTTTAGACTTTTAGATGAGTAAATATTGCAACTGAAATTGAAAACAGAGATTTGGTTACTTTAGACTTTTAGATGAGTAAATATTGCAACTGAAATTGAAAACAGAGATTTGGTTACTTTAGACTTTTAGATGAGTAAATATTGCAACTGAAATTAAAAACAGAGATTTGGTTACTTTAGACTTTTAGATGAGTAAATATTGAAACTGAAATTGAAAACAGAGATTTGGTTACTTTAGACTTTTAGATGAGTAAATATTGCAACTGAAATTGAAAACAGAGATTTGGTTACTTTAGACTTTTAGATGAGTAAATATTGCAACTGAAATTGAAAACAGAGATTTGGTTACTTTAGACTTTTAGATGAGTAAATATTGCAACTGAAATTGAAACCAGAGATTTGGTTACTTTAGACTTTTAGATGAGTAAATATTGCAACTGAAATTGAAACCAGAGATTTGGTTACTTTTTTGCTGCATGTTACTGTTAACAGGTTTTAAAGAATTATAAGGCGGAAACACCGCGAAACATTCTTTTAAGTGCCCACTTTAACACCGAGCAGAACGTGCCAGGGTTATTTGATCCAACATGATAAGAAATAAAAGTTATAATTTCTCAGGGATAAGGTTTTGTTCACTGACCTAGTGCTATCTTGATGTTCATGAGATCGGTAGCAGAGAGAAGGTCGTTGAGAGGGAAATCCTTCATGAGGTTCTGGTAATCGTTTACTGTTTCCAGAGCTGATTTTAGTCCTGAGTAAATACAAAATTGATATTCAATAGATACATAATTAATTAAAATCAAGTTTCATATAGTACAATTGAATGGTAAATAATCAATACTATAATTGGAAATAGTATGTATGTCTGTCGTCTGTACGACCGCCTACGTGCAAATTATATGAGAAATAAGAAGTTGCATTGTAACCATGGTAACGATGTTGAACGCGCACGTGCAAAGATTTGCGAGCGACATTTTGATCGGTTTTGTGGTAATTACGTTGTATTTAGAGTGTCGATTACATTTTAATCAGCTGTATCTTCGGTTGTGATGGATATTTTTTGATGCGATAAAGACTGACTACCAAAGAATACTATTAGCTTCCTCCCTGTGACCACGGGCTTTCTAGTATTATATAAATGTATTTCGCAGATTCACTGATACTCTGATAGATGATCATAAAAAATGAGCTTCTAATGTGCTTCACATTAAACAAATGAGACCCTTAGAGCCTGGAAGTAATCAACCCTGAAGACACGGATAACATCAAAAGCGTCAAGTACTAACCAGTATCCGTATCAAACTTGACAGTGACATGGAACCTCCGTCCCAGTCTCAGAACCTCCAGTGTCAGTGTCACTTCAACACTGTCACACTTTTCCTGGATGTTACGTAACGCTCGTTCCAAGTTTAACCAGAAGCTGATTTCCTGGATTGCTGTGCCGGAGGACGGGTCTCTGTCCAGCTGGGTTACCTGGGAGTGGTGTGTTAGTTACCACTTGTTACCAGTAGTTACCAATAGTTACCACTAGTTACCACTAGTTACCACTAGTTACCAATAGTTACCACTAGTTACCACTTGTTACCACTAGTTACCACTAGTTACCACTTGTTACCACTAGTTACCACTAGTTACCATTAGTTACCACTAGTTACCAATAGTTACCACTAGTTACCAATAGTTACCAATAGTTACCACTAGTTACCACTAGTTACCACTAGTTACCAATAGTTACCACTAGTTACCACTTGTTACCACTAGTTACCACTAGTTACCATTAGTTACCACTAGTTACCACTAGTTACCAATAGTTACCACTAGTTACCAATAGTTACCAATAGTTACCACTAGTTACCAATAGTTACCAATAGTTACCACTAGTTACCAATAGTTACCACAAGTTACCACTAGTTACCACTAGTTACCACTAGTTACCACTAGTTACCACTAGTTACCACTAGTTACCACTAGTTACCACTTTCACTAGTTACCACTAGTTACCACTATAAATAGTTACCACTATAAATAGTTACCACTATAAATAGTTACCACTAGTTACCACTTGTATATAATGAACAGTCCCAAAAGGCTTACAAGTTACAACTACACTATCATATTACATGTGCACCGTAACCCTTATATCCTAGCAACTGTGCTATGGTGGTTCTATACAATAAAATATGAAGATTTATAAGTTTGAATGTACGTGATTTTAGAGAAATGAGTAATTATTTGCCCTGATATCTACTCATCACACAAGTTCTGCTCAGAAATTGTACACATCGTACTTCAGCAGCTCAAATTTCTTTGCGGCAGAAATATTGAACGAAAGTATTTAAAACCTTCTGAACTTCCTATATAATACATTCCTATATAATACATATAATACATATAATACATTGTCTAATGTCTAATTCCTCAACTTTAAAATATTAGACCTCTCTAATTTAGCTTATGATAAGAGATATTGGCAGAAACTACAATGACGTTTCAAATAATTTAGTTGCTTGTTTTAGGGAAAGATTATTTGTTGTTTTTTAACTATCTCTTGTTTAAAACTTGTATTAAATAATATCCGACCTTTTGCACTTCTCTAATCCACCTGTTGACGCCAGCTTGGAGGGCGTTTAACAAAGTAGAATCCTCAACATCAAAATCCTGAGCTTTGGGCTTTCCGCCTTCTTTATCAGCCTTCTTGATAGCCTGAAATGGAGTTAGTTAATTAATTAATTAGTAAATCGTTTTAGCACGATATCTTCAAAACTGTGATTGAAAATTGTGTATTCTAGGCTTCTAGGGTAGTTATGCATGGATATCTGAAGAAATTCAGTTATTCAAATGAAACATGACAAAAAATATGAGAAATTTCAGCGAAAACGAAAGAGCTGACGCCACTGACGCCGCTGACATATTATTAAGTTATTATAATTTATAGTTCTCGTTAAATTGAAATAATTTATAACTATAATTAGTTCAATTGAGATAACAAACTAACAGTTAAGATCTGAGGGTGGATGACCAGGTTGATCTCAGGTATATCAATGTTTTGTTGCAGGTGAACCAGACCAGTTTCCAGTTCAGCAAAGTTCTTTTTGATGGCAGGTACCATCTTATCCCCATCATCCGATTTACCTGGCGTAATTAAACAAATAAAATATATATACAATCTAGTTTTAAATACATAAATTTAAATAAAAGTGAGTTTTATATCTGTAGCACAATTATCGTAAATATGAATTTCTTTCACAAGATAATAATATAATAATAATGATAAAAGATATTATGATATTGGCATTAAGGGGGCCGGGGGGGGGGGGTCTTCATCAAAATTCTCTCGAAATTGACTTTTTAGTTGTTTCTGATAGAGGGGAGTGATATCTATCAGTTGCTTTTGGTCCCATGGAAAAATATTGTTCCTAGCCAAAATTATCGCCGGTCAAAGGTCAGCGCTTATGAGTAATTGTATTGCGCGAGCGATTTTCAATCGCGCGCCCTGAAAATCGAGTCTAAAAATCTATCTTCTCCTACATTTTTTGAGCAATCACCCTGAAACTTTCAGGATATGTTCTAAGGACCATTTAGAAGAGATTGTCGGGCCAGAATTTTGAGATAGGCCTTAAAACATTTTTTATTCGATTTTGAAAATCTTGGACCTCGATTTTTGACGATTTTTTCAGGTCCAAGATTTTTAAAATTAAATAAAAAATGTTCTAAGGCCTATCTCAAAATTCTGGCCCGACAATCTCTTCTAAATGGTCCTTAAAACACATCCTGAAAGTTTCAGGGTGATTGCTCAAAAACTGTAGGAGAAGATAGATTTTTAGACTCGATTTTCAGGGCGCGCGATTGAAAATCGCTCGCGCAATACAATTACACATAAGCGCTGACCTTTGACCGGCAATAATTTCGGCTAGGAACAATATTTTTCCATGGGATCAAAAACAGCTGATAGATATCACTCCCCTCTATCAGAAACAACTATAAAGTCAATTTCGAGAGAATTTTGATGAAGACCCCCCCCCCGGCCCCCTTAATAGCGATTGTATTTCACAAACTTTTTATACAGCTTTTGACGTCATGATTCGAGATTATATTTTGTTTATCAATTTATGGAATCGTGATCGTTTTTAATAACCATTCATTACACGAATCACTTACACACAGCAAAATATAACAGCTTTTGAACATAATCAAATTTAAACAAAACCAAAAATAGACACAGAACATAAAAAGAAATTTATCATAGAATAGAAATAAAAATAAGCAACCATGCACCACAACTTACCGCTCTTTGTGACGAAGCTGTTGAATATGGGGATGATTGCGGAGGATATCAAGGAATGCAAGGACTCATAAGTACTCTCCTGAGACAAATGTATGGTCTGCATCTGCTTTGTGAGCTGCTTCGTGCTCTCTACGTGCGTGCCACGCTTGATAAACGCTACCGTCATAACCCTGAGAGAGTGGGTTATTTTTAGTAACAATATTTTAATATTTATTTAATAACAATATTTTAATAACAATATTTCCAGAAATCACACTGTTGATTTCAGTGAATAGTTTTGTATTGTGTAATTCAGAATCACATTGTACCAAATTCATTTTCACAATCCATTTGGAAAAATATAATTGGTAGAAAGCTGCATACTTATTAGACAGGTATTGGATGTCTATAGAGATAGAGTAGCTAATCTCTGGAGGTACATCACTTTCAGGATCCTCGCTGTCTTTGGTCAATCTGTTGACAAGGACTGCTCGTATCTGTGATTCTCCAATGAATTTCTCTATCATCCCGTACACCGCTGGTGACTTCAGTTCTTTCTGAAATTAAACATTTTAGGTCGAGGGTGTATAGTATAGAATGTTATTTTTGTGTTATATATTGTATGTATATTTTTCAAGTGGTTGAACTGTTTCAATCGTGATTCATTTCATCATAATAGGCATGGGTTACACTAGTTTCGTCACACCATAACCAATACGATTCACAAATTTAGAGATTTTACCTCAAACTGAGGTGTTATTTCACTGGGATCTTCTTCCATCATGACAGGAATAACTCTCTTTATGTAGTTCACAACTGTGATGGGTTCCATAAGAGACAGAGGTAAAGGCGCGGCCCCCTCTCCATCTCCTGTGTCCGTTTCATCCATTATCTAAATCAGTGCTGTTGCCACCACTTTAGATATGCTATAAAAGGTAAATTTATTAGACGCTGTTAAAAATTCTATAAAATCGTATTTATATAAATCGTATTTATATAATTATTTATTATATTGAACAATGTTTCTTTCATACATATATTCTTTTTTCAGCTGAGTCATATAACATATTCGACAAATTCTATCAGTTTTATGTTCTATTTGCTTTGATTTCGTTAAAACTATTTTACAGTGAAAAACTATCAAAGTTTGTGAAGGTCAAAATCTAGCTTTTTCAATACAATCGAACCTCTCTATACTGGGCTCCTCAGTGAAACTAAAAGTGCATGGTATAGCAAAAACCTAGTAGAAAGAGGTTAACATGATCCAATTTCTAATAATGATCTCAAATAACCTGTCAAGCATCTCATTTATACCCCATTAGGAGCTGTAAATATTTGTATTGTGTGATATAACAATGGAATACAGCCTGATATGTAATGACATTACCACCAAATGCGATGTGAGCACTGAAAAATCACATTACTTTCACTAAATATCAAAACACGGCTAATTGACCAACAATTTCAGGGAAAGAAGAGGTACAGTACATTGAGGTACCCGATATAGAGAGGCACAGTATGGAGAGGTTTTACTGTATGTAAACAGTGCCTTATTGTGGTGTAATAATGGCTTTAATATTTTATTATCAAAAAGATGCTAGTTCCCCCATGATCAACCAGAGACAAATGATGAGAAAACAGAGATTGAGTTTAAATTAGTCTAAATTAGCATGTACCAAACCCCCAGAGGCGGCTATTGAGGGTGTCCAGGCGTCTGTGGACGCCCTAAAATTATTATCTGGTGGCTGGTGCTTGAAAATAGAAATAGTATTCAGAAATATCTAATCGCAATATAAAGCTCTTTATTCACTCAAACATTCGAATGTAAGCGCACGCATGATCTTTGTGAAATTTTGTGTTGTAGGGTGTCCAATCCTCATTTGGACAACTAAGCTGCACAGTTTTAACACATAGTTAATTGTAAATGGTACAAAGCACATCAAGCGCCTCCCACTACAGGTAATCTATATGATTTGGTCGTCCAGGACACCTTGCAATTTGAACTATTGACTGCTATGATACTGCGCGGCTGAGATCATACAGGTGTGGTGTCCTATATAATCTGAAGCGGCTACAAGGTAAATAAATTAAATTGATACATTGAGAGTGGTGATATCTCGCAGCTCTCCGCCTCGAAGACTGCTCGCCTGTACCAGGGCTGTCAATGACCGTGAGGTGGTTGAACCGCTTCAATTGTGATTAGAAGATAACGATTTGGATCTTGATTTTGATACTTAACTTAATAACAGCCGTTACAAGCTGTCATATAACTGTAGGAATATAGGTCTTCTTAAGGGGGGGGGCCAATGGGTATTTTTTTGTGAAACTTGATTTCGAGATAGCAATTGACCAACAAACTAAGACCAGTGACCGAACTTTTGAGGGGGTCCCGGACCCCAACCGCCAAACGGTGCGCGCATGGCAGCCACGCCCATATTTGGTCCAAATTAGGCCCAATTTAGCCAAACACCCTGAACATGCCCAAAACCAAGGTTTATGGTGCTCTACTTGTAGCTAGTGGTCTCCTGAACTCGTATATGAAATTTCATCAAGATTGGACAAAAAATGACTGAGTTATGAGCCAAAAACCATATGCCCATATTTGGGCATACGCACCAAATTTGGTAGATTTCGGCCCATAAATTGGCTAAATATCAATATTTTTGAATGAAACTTACTTTATATGAAAGGTAAGCCTAAACTACATATTATCTGTAAGTTATAGCTTTATATCTGTTTAAATGTGGATACTAAGGCGAAAAAACCACAAAAAATGAACTAAATTGCCCATATCTCGGTTCGCGATATTTGCGGAATTGATCTCATTAAAATTGTAACAACTCAATCAGTTTTCAAAATTTTTGCATGAAATTTTCGGAATCGACTCGAAATCGCATTTCCACCTTATTTTAAATACGGATTTTTGATTAAGGCCTCCAAAAAAATTTGGCGGCCAAATTCTGAATTTTTGTGAGATAATTTTGGAATTTGGCCGCCAAATTTTTTTGGAGGCCTAAATCAAAAATCCGTATTTAAAATAAGGTGGAAATGCAATTTCGAGTCGATTCCGAAAATTTCATGCAAAAATTTTGAAAACTGATTGAGTTGTTACAATTTTAATGAGATCAATTCCGCAAATATCGCGAACCGAGATATGGGCAATTTAGTTCATTTTTTGTGGTTTTTTCGCCTTAGTATCCACATTTAAACAGATATAAAGCTATAACTTACAGATAATATGTAGTTTAGGCTTACCTTTCATATAAAGTAAGTTTCATTCAAAAATGTTGATATTTAGCCAATTTATGGGCCGAAATCTACCAAATTTGGTGCGTATGCCCAAATATGGGCATATGGTTTTTGGCTCATAACTCAGTCATTTTTCGTCCAATCTTGATGAAATTTCATATACGAGTTCAGGAGACCACTAGCTACAAGTAGAGCACCATAAACCTTTGTTTTGGGCATGTTCAGGGTATTTGGCTAAATTGGGCCTAATTTGGACCAAATATGGGCGTGGCTGCCCTGCGCGCACCGTTTGGCGGTTGGGGTCCGGGACCCCCTCAAAAGTTCGGTCACTGGTCTTTGTTTGTTGGTCAACTACTATCTCGAAATCAAGTTTCACAAAAAAATATCCATTGGCCCCCCCCCCCCCCTTAAGTGGGACACAGGATGAATTTGTAGGGTGCTATTGTCAGCAAAAAGCTATACATGTGTGAGGTGATAACAATAAGTAGGTGTGAATGGATGAGTGTACTAACTTGTCACGCCGTTCCCCAACGGTGCATCTTGTCCGTGTTGCATTTTAAAGAGCTTGACAGGCCGCCCCATTGGAAGAGACTCATAGGCGGGCAAAAGATAAAGGCCTAGATGGCAGATTGATTATCTTGAGGTAGACCTGTCGACTATGCATGAATATGTGTGGCATGTCATGTAATAGTTGATACCGTATACTAATACAGCAGAGTTCCCCAAAGCACTCAAGATAAGAGTTTAACTTACTCCTGGTAACTAAGGAATATCAATGAATGGATCTAACGAATATCTGTGGTTGTGAGAAGCTTTATTGGATGCGGGGCGCGGCCCAGTAGTGCATCGCGTTTTGCTCTATCCATGCAGAGCTCTTTTGCTTGCAATAGCGCGTCACGCAGTACGGGTAGACTCATGGATATATAGGGTGAACATTTGCTGTAACCAGAGCCCTCTCGCTTGCAGTAGCAAACAAGCGCGTCACGCAGTACGCGTAGACACTTGGCTATGTGAAGGTGAACATTGCGCTACAAGTTTCGCTTATTTCAAAATAACATATATGAATTTTAAAATTTCGCGTACCAACAATTTATTTTACTTAACCATGTGCTTCTGCGAGCGTGCTAAATCACTTTACAGTCGATCTTCGATATTGTTCTCAAAGTGACCCCTATTACTGGACGGCGCTCAGCCTGTCATTCCGCCAAATCTTTAATCTCTATAATGTTTATAAAAATGATAGCCTGGGGTCCCCAGGTAAGACCCCTACAGTTCATGCGCGTTGAAACCTTAACTTAAATCGATGTATTAAATCGATGTATTTTCGAACGCTGATTTCGAATCACCTCCATGACATAAAGTTAAAATGCTTCTCTGACGAGATATTGGCAAAAACTAAAACTGTCTCGATCACGTGATCTATGACCGTATAAGGAAGTTAGTCTAATTTATCGTTAGGGTTAGGGTTTCAGCATTTACTGGGCCGCGCTCAGCCTGTCATTCAATTCCGCTGAACATAATAGCCTGAGGTCCCCAGGTAATTTCAGCATATGCTTTTATTAAAGATTGGGTTAGGGTTAGGGTTGAGATCAGATTGGAGGGTTAGGGTTTCAAATAGTCGTTCAGGACCAGCTAGAGAACGGGTTGAAAAAATTACGTGACAGTCGAGCGTAGAGTGATTAATCATCATCCGTGTTCCACAATCCACACCATTGTGGGCACGGTTCTTTCATGCAAGTAAGAAAGCAGGCGCAACTCTATAAACTAGACTGCATGCGCAAGGGCTTTAGTACAGTAGTTAGAGCAAACAACTTACCGCAGTATTATATAAAGCATTTTAAGCACCGTACTTCTAAATTATTTGTCACGCGCGCCAATGCAATCATCTTTGTGCGGGGCGCTTGCGCTAAATTCTAGGCTTACTGTTCATGTATTACTTTTTTAAAAGACAAGCAATCAATTTAATATATTTATCGTACGTTGTATGTAGTATGACCCGCCGCGCACGATCGATTGCGCGGCTCCCCTGTATCGTAAAAACGTTACAGTGAAGCGACAATTTAATGGGGGTCACGACGTGATATTACTGGGCCGCGCTCAGCCTGTCATTCCGCCAAATCTTTATATGTTAATGAACATAATAGCCTGGGGTCCTCAGGTAAGACGTGATACAACATACAATATACAATATAATATGCAATATTACCTGGGAACCTCAGGCTATCATGTTTATAAACATATATAGAATAGAGATTCGGCGGAATGACAGGCTGAGCGCGGCCCAGTAATATGCAATATAGCAATACTACAATAGACTAACAAGCTAGCTAGGTGAGCTTTTTGGTTTGCTCGACTAACCTACTAATTATTCAGTAACCAGATCCTTCGCTTTTAACTGCAGTATGCAGTAACGCAGCGCACGTTACGTATAATCTCTACTATAATTCAGAAAATTCTTTTTGTCTGTACGTATGCATTGTACGACCGCCCATGGCCCACGTGCAAATTAGGTAAAAAGCAAAAGGTTGCAAATTATTAGCCATGGTAACGAGGGTTGTTACACGCACGTGCACGTACGTGCAAAGATTGTTAGCTAGAACGGCATTTTTATCGGTTTTGACTTTTGTTGATATTACGTTGAATTTAGTGCGAGCAACATTTTAATCGGCTGTATCTTCCGTTGTGTACTTGTGTAGGATATTTTTTGACGCGATTTAAACTTACTAACAAAAAGTACTTATATTAGCTTCCTCCCTGTGACGGCTCTTACTAAATCGCTCGCCCAAAAATTTCACGTGACTTTGGTTTTTTTGGTTTTGCAGCCGTACAAAACGGTTTTACATAAATCTAATCACAACCCTACCCTAACCATAACCCCGAAGCTATCCATGGCCATAATCTTAACCACAACCCTAACCCTAACCTTCACATAGCCATGTGTCTACGCGTACTGCGTGACGCGCTTGTTTCGGCTTACTGGGCCGCGCTCAGCCTGTCATTCCGCCAAATCTTTATTCAAATGTTTATGAACATAATAGCCTGGGGTCCCAGGTAAGTTTCGGCGGTCGCGCGCTACTGCAAGCGAAAGGGCTCTGGTTAGTAGAGCAACCAGAGCAATAGAGCAATAGAGCAAACCCTAACCCAAGCCCTAAATAATCGAATTCCCTAACCCTGGTTTAGATCACAAGATCCTTTCAATCTTAGTGATACGATTATATGTATGTGTGGCATTTTGAGAGGTCCATCCAGGGTGAAAGTTTTTATTTATCTACCACTCCGTATAAATCCGAGATGTGGTATTTGGTCTCGAGTGCTCTCAGACCAAAAGGTTCCTGTACTGGATAACTTCAAAAATAACATTCTTTCAGGAAAATTTGTCATTAAACTTCAGGATGACGACAAGTATAACTATAAAAAAAATTACGAGAGACGAGTGACTACAACTACAAGCGGGTTTAAGTTTGACACGACATTCCGTGCAATATTCTGCAACAACAGCAGGATGGTCTCTCTTAATACCACTCCGGCAGAGAGAGAAGCCCTGGACCGAACACCAGGCTTCAACCCCTACTTATCTGTTACAATTAAGTTTGAAGAGCACAGAACTGACGACTACCTGTTGGGAGACGTGTTTGTGTTTGGTGGAGGAGTCATGGAGTTGGAGACGGATGAAACTGCCCTGTTTCACGATAATGAAAGTGAAAGTAGAGCTGACAGTGATCATGGTAATCCTGATGAAAGTATAATATCAAGCGGGAGGTCATCTGTCTCGTATTCCTCTGACAGTGAGATAGAAGATGAGGTTATAGATAGTTATGCTAATAACGCTATCATTGCTGATGATATATTCGAGCTGTTGAGTCAACTTTCCCGCGTAACCACAAGTTCTACACTAGGAAGAGCAAGTGCAGTGCTAGACTTCGCACTTGCTGCACTCAAACCAGACCACGAGGTTTTGCAAGGAGTGATTGACAGGGTTTTAGTTTTTATTGGGTGGATTAAAGGTGAAAATGATTCTCACGGTGAGGAAAGCGATAGAATTTATAAGGGAAATATGCTATTACTGTTGTCAGAACTTGTGACTAAACCATATTTCCCGATAGCAGGAGTTGAAGTTATTTTAGCTTTTCATGATAAGAATCGCGAGGGAAACTAAGCAGCTAGCTGATTATACGCAGGTGCATTCGAAAATTATTGTCATGAGATTCTTTTCGGTATTTGTATATCTAAATGAGTTGTTTTCATCAGTCTAGTTTTTGAAGGATTTGAATATTTAACAAGAATTTCGCCGCGGTTACACCACGCACGATCAAATTTCCTTGGCCCTACAATGTAATTGTTTAACAGTTAACTTGTATTGCAATTTGCATCCCTGATCCCAGAATGGTGTTTGGCGAACGTGATACATAATAATCGTTTATATTATATTTTTAACGAATAATAACTGTATAAGCTCGTTCTCAATGTCAAGGTTACATAAATAATACATTCATATTCAGCAATGTTCAAAAGTCTTACATTTTTCACATTTCACAAGTTCCAAGGCAAAATTGCAGATTCAGTTAATGAATATGATCGCACAACAAGGAGTTGAGCTATCTTCTTTGTGATTCCACAATCCACAACAACTAGACTGCAGGCCCTAAAATTAAAAGTAATGACCCATGCCCAACTAAATAATGTAACCGAATGAAATTGAATTAACATTCCCGATTATCGATGATCGATCACATTAATTATTAACTTTTTTAAACGAGTGTTTTAATTTACTGTATCTTAAGGTAAGGTTTACCTGGGGATATTATATTTATGTTCATAATCATATAGAGATTAAGCGGAATGACAGGCTGAGCGCCGCCCAGTTTGTTTGTTTGTTTGTTTGTATTCAAGAGCTACTTGCCACTTATGTCCAGATCATTATATAAAATTATATAATGTAGCACTTCTAGGCAGAGTGCTTGGTTGTGGGACACACTCGACTTTAAGAATGGTGAGAAACCACAAATCTCACTAGTGAGATATCAGATATCAACAGAGTGTGAACCACTGCCTGGCCTGACTTACCTGTGGTTTGAGAATAGAAGAGAGTATCTTCCGTGTTACTGTTGTTGAGATTCTGTGAGTCCTTTGACCACGTTGCTGGTTACAAACTCTTGTTGTGGGAGGTGGTAGGATCATAGGCGCAATTACCTCAAATTATTTGTTGGGTAAGGCCAGTTTTATAGACCAAATTTGTATAAATATGTGACTTTGAGGTAATATAAGTAGCTGTAGAATTTACCGCTATAATTACATCGTCTAGCCAATAGCTTACTTACTGTCTTTTATCTGGCATTAACGTTAGGGGTCTCATCATGGTCTTGAGTAAATCTTAGTTTATCTTTCGACTTTCGAAACCGTTCGATCCATAGTTGCCATTCTGCAATCATGCTTACAAACCACCTGTAAATGATCATTATGCCGATGGATTTCGCTTAGATCTTCGTTTAACTTTAAAGGGCACAGCTTTCGACTTTCGCTTATTCAAGTTCAAGTTTTTAAGCCTTTTAATTTAAATTTGTAAATTGGACGTAAAATTTATAAACCAGACTTGGCTCGGGAATGAATTTTCACTTGCAGACGAATAACTCTGAACTCGCACCTGAGCTGTGACCGCGACAACTCGATATTTTAATCTGGTTACTAATGAGTCATACTCGATCATAGTACCAGTAGTAGTCGGGGTATCGTTAATAATAATAACTGCACGGCTTATAGTTTGTAATTATAATAATATGGGCCTGGGGCCAAATTGGGGGTACGAGTGGCCAGTTCTTACCGCCGTGGACATGTGCTACAAATGAACTGCTCAACTTAATTATAATTAACAATATAAATATAATCAACTCAGGGACGTAGCCAGGATTTTTCTTTGAGGGGGGCTGTCGGCGAGCGAAGCGAGCCGACGTGTCCCATGCAGCTGCGCAGCGAGCAAGCTGTGGCAGGGGTCTGGGGGCGCAGCCCCCAGCGGGGTCCAGTGGCGGAGCCCCTTGGCGGGGGCTAGAGGGGCTCAGCCCCCCAGAAAATTTTTGCGAAACAGGGTGTTTTAGACGACATTTGGCATTAAAGAAATTTGTAGGACAGCAATAAACTGGGATTGAAAAGAATCAAGTACTCACGTAAATTTGGTAACTTCACAACAGCAATCTGCATTCTCCAATCAGAATTTACGACTTACTCAGGCCTCATCGTCTTAAGATTTTTACATTTCCTACGGTCTAGGGGACACTATTGACTATTTATAGGAGTCTTCTAGAATCTTAGAATGTTTGCTTGGATGTTATGACAGATATTTACTAATCCACAGTTCAAATCTTTGACTGACTGCAGTCATAAACACAGCCCAGTTACCAGGCGACCATGGGGACTAGGGGGCTTATCTTTTTTCAGGGGTTCGACTTTTGCCGCCCCCCTAGCCTCCCCCCCCCCCTGTCTACGTGCCTGCATCAACTGTTAGCCACTCGTTCACTTTCTGAAGTTCATTATCATATGTATTTCCTTGGGGCTTGGGGCAATCAAAAACGTGCTCCAACATCGCAACACAAGTTCATTTTATATTACCTAGAAGTTTGAGTTTATAGACCAGACATCGACAGTTAGAATTAGGTACTGTCAGAAAATGTTGAGTAACACGTGTATTGATGTTAATCACTAGATCATCAGAGCATATGAACTATCCACATGAAACGGAGGCCCCACAAACTATTATACTATGAGTATGACGTAGGCCTTCTATATCATACATTTTTATCAACTAAATTAAAGACCACGCTTCAATAAATTTGTTTAGTGTCCATGCGAGATAAAATTTCCATTAAGTGACAAGATTTACTAAGTTTCCTTAAATTCAATACCTTATACTCGGCAGTCGGCTTAAACCTGTAACTGTTAACAGCCATGAAATTATGTTGGGTGTCTATTTGCTCTGTCCAGCTGACATTTAATCCGCAAAATCAGGTGCTTATAATTCCATTTCCACTAAGTCCTTGTCCTTAATATTATTGGAAAAGTGTTTCTTATTTAATATGAAATGTTGGCTTAATCTATTCTTCAGTAAATATTATTTCGTCCATTACATTTCCGATTTGTTATAGACTTCATTTCACAATCTGAAATTTGATTTGATTTTATAAATTTGAGTGCTGAACTATACATCCTTTAACTTTCGACATCTAAAATTGATAGTTTGCTGTTGTTCATTTGTCATTGGCAGATACATATGCTGTTTAGGTTCAAAAGTAGTTTGTAGTTTAATATTATATATAATCTTAATCTAAAACTGTCATGTCTCTTGCCTGCCCACGAAAGATATGGACAACGTTTTCGTGTTGCGTTAGCTAAGCTAACTGCAAGTTTTTACTTTAAACATAGGCATTATTTTCAAGATATCTACTGTGAAATGGACGGTCGACGGAGCCCTTTGTAACACTTTGTAGCGCTGGAAGTGGACCTTCTACCGTCTAAAATACAGGTGCAGGTTCTGTTAATCCGAAATTATTAACTACGCCGATTCGCTTTTTAATAGAGTTACAGGTGCAGTGATAATTGCACCCTCATAATAGTGACCACTGAGACTTGAGCGACGTTCTTAATAAAAATGGTGGATAAATTACCACACATAATTAATGCCTCTGTGCTTTGAAGTAAGCCTCGATAGTCGATACTAGTAAACATCGCATGTTTGCACGTGTCTGTCAATATGTACAGTGAAACTGATGCCACGAGGCATTCCGTATTTACTTTTAGTTCTTAATGCTGTGTACCTTGCCAAGTTGAAATATTTGACGACCTAAATTACTAAACATGTTTTATACAAGTTTATGATTATAACGAGAACAAAACATTTAGCAAATGTCTGTAACTTCAACGGGAATATTAACCCTAGCAGAAACAGGGTTCACTAACGCGGTAGCAGCAACCAGCGAATCTCCTGACCCTGATTATACGCATAACCTCGGGCACACAACAAACATTGTGATCCTAGTGTGTACATTCACTCTAGCAGTTCTGGCAGTGTCCCTTAACTTGGGGGTGGTGACTTTCTATCGGAGCCAGATCAGAAACTTAGTACCCTTTATCTACTCGATCTTAGGAGGGAGTGACTTGTGTACCGGGATCTGTGCAGGCCTACACTCTGTTATCTTCTTAGTGTTGCTTGTAGTTAAAGATAAGGAGGATGGCATCCTCTTCTGGATCACATTCCTCTCGTACTACACTACCATGATCTCCTTCAGACTGTCCGCCTTTGTCAGTTTGGTGTTCTCGGTCATCCGTACCATCAACATCTTATCACCATTCAGCAGGATCATCAGAGGAGCAGTTTACATTTCCATAGCAATTTACTTTGCATTCATATTGGCATTGACCTCGGCAGAAATAGGCCTACTAGAATTTAGTACTACTAATTCAGTCAAATTCATGAAAAGTCACTTCTTTCGACCAGGAAGCCTGAATCAACTGTACGTTTCATTGCTTAGAGGTGAAACCCTGACTAACAAACACATGTGTGCGATAAACTGGGCATCCACCCTGCCCACCATTCTCCCAGCTACTCTGGCATTGATAGCCACCGTCGTGCAAATCTACTCTCTCCTCAGACCTCAGAACATTGATACAAGGAAAGACACCGATAGTACAAAGAAGAGAATAAGCATCACGATCGCCACCATTTCCACTATCTTCTTCCTCTGCTCACTCTTCATGCTGGCCCAACCCATCATATTCTGTAATAACATGTTCCCCGAGGACGTGAGGAGAAGGAGAGCTGTCCTGTACATGTCCGGGTATATACCACTGTTCCTGAACGCCGCACTTAACCCACTAATCCTGGTACTGAGAGGAGAGAAGCTGAATAAGTACATCAGAGACAAACTGGGGATAAGACAAGGCCAGTCTGAGGGAGAGGTATATGGAATGAGGAGCATGAAGAAGGAGGGAGTGAAGGGAGGGAGTACAGCTAGAGGAGACAGGTGGTCAATAGACACTGTTGCAGCACAGCTCTCCGTCAACATGGTATGATTGAGAAACTGTCTAAATTAGAATATGACCTTAATGATAAGTAATTAGTTTGATTAACAACAATAGGAACAGTATTGATCCCAGAATGAAGAGTTCCTGTTCGATAGACTAAATCTGATCATCCTTTGATTTATTAATCATTATTACAAACAAATGTGTTTTACTAGCTCAATGATTTGTTTCGGTATACTATTTTTGTGATACATATTACATATCGTCATAACTATATGGCAAACAACGAAAAAATCGTCCTGATATTAAAAAATATATAAATGAAATACAAAGCTTGAACAAATTAAATTTTTAGGTTTAAAAAAAGAAGCTTTACAGTCGAACAAAAAAGCTTGAATAAAAGAAGACAAACTTATTTTGCAGTGTGCACAGCCTAAAAGTGTGCACAGCCTAAAACTAAAAGTGTGCACAGCCTAAAAGCGGTCCTTTAAAGTACTAAACACACGATTTAAGATTATGAACCAGTTTTTCATCGTACGATCTCTCAAGAAAGGCCTGCCTAATAGCGAAAACTCAGTCTTAATGTTTTTCCAACCGCAATGACATTGAAGCACCGTCAGGTAACGAACACTGTATATACCATCTCTCAGCAAAACATTACACCTGAGAGTGTAAACGAAAAAAGAAGGACCCTCACCACTTGGTCTCCGGTTTCAGTTTGTACGCTTGATACGCGGCCAGAGTGAAGAATGACAACTCTGTCTCGGACATCACTCCACACTCCTCTAGGGTCTTCTCTCCGGGGAGGATCAACAGCTTATCATCCTCTAGGTTGATGACGATATCATTTGCTTTGAAGCTGCCGGCTTGGTGGGATATCTTGAGGGTATCGTAGGGGTGTGTTTTGAAGGGTGGCGGGATACCTTTTACTGATTTGAGGTCCTGGACAAGACGAGCGATGAATTGGTCTACTGTTTGAGTGATGTCCACCTCTCGGATAGGAATGGTGCGGATTGTGCGGTATTCGAAATTTCGAATAAGCCGAACCGTAACTATCATGTAATCACCTATCTTGGCGAGAAGTCGGTTAGGTGATGCAGATGATAATTCAGACAATTTGATATTCAAGTTAAGCCCCATCCGGTAAGGGTTTCTGAGTGCATGCAGCTGACTGACGCCGAGTATACTAACCTTCACAATCACATAGCCACGTGTCTACGCGTACTGCGTGACGCGCTTGTTTCGGCTTACTGGGCCGCGCTCAGCCTGTCATTCAGCCAAATCTTTATTCGGGCTGAGTGATTTACGACCTCCATCGCCTCAGAAAAATGGCAGTACGCTCATTGGAAGTTGATGTGCGCGTGACCAGCATTTACGTGATCATTTAGAACCAATTGGGGCCTCAGAAAAGACACGTGCACGCAAACTGCCAATTGGAGAAAAGTGACTTATTAGCTAGAGGAGCCGCGCGCTGAGTTAGATTGTAAAATTTGACTATTGGATTGTAAAATCGAGCGATGTGAGTGTCATCAGTGATGTGCTGCTGACTGCACCTCGTGTTATCACACTGCACACAGCACAGTTACATCGGTACATCCTTCATGTTTATGTTGTTCCTGTAGTTAAGATATATTTTGATGACCTTTTCTTGCTCGTACGACATTTTTTAAAAATCGTCCAGTTGTCTACACTTATTTATATTTAGCTGCCCGACATTTACTTCGTTTAAAGACCCTAGCGAAAGATGTTAGCTTTGCTTAATATCAAAGTAACATGGTCCTGTCATGACTACCACTCTGATGAGGGATGGTTTAGTTTGTCAATCAGTTTGCAGTTATCTGAAAATTTTCTTTTATATACTCATGCTATGCATTTGAATTAAATTTCCGAACTAAGATCGTGTTACTTACATCCATATCAAGAGGTTCTGGGTACTAGAAGGAACAAAATATGTCAGATTGATGTTGACCATTATACTGTCTGTTTGTAGTTTTTATTTCTTTTGGACTGCCTGTTCGGGCCCGGCTACTTTTTGTCGTTTTCAAAGAAGGCCTGTGATCGAAAAAATCTCTTAGATGTGATCTATAGATTAGTTCTGCCCTGCACCTTTTTCCTTTACAGTTAGTGTCAAAATTCTGAATTGGATCGTAGAAAAACACTTCAATGGTCTGATATTCATACTGTACAATCTTTGATGATGGATTAAGATATTTAATCCTAGTTATTACTTATTTAATAGATTGCATTGTGATGGAAATTATGTGTTCTCGTACTCTATATTAGTCACTTTGTCCTTAATCCTAGATGTTGTAAAATATTTAGTTTGTTTTAACATTTTTGCAAGAATAGATTAGTCTCCCTGAATTGAAATCGGGAGTTAATCTATATAAATTATCCTTTATTGTGAAATGCTTTGAGAGCGTCATAATTTGCTGTGTCTGATCTTACATATCAGTAGTGTGGATCGAACCAAACGTAATTTCACACAATGAGAGTCAAGAGGCTTATTTCATCAACCATCTAGTCTGTTAGCACTTGTTTTGGTCAACGGTACCACACAAGTGAAATATGATTTTTCGTTTCCGTTATCAGTGCTTGCTTATGTTTTTGTAACATCCTATCATAACTAATCTTTTATTTGACTTAAATCATCCATTCTATTAAAATTCAATAATTTGATGCGGAATATTCAGTTAAGTTAGATACACTCAGATTATGATATAGTTATCTTTAAAATTTTGTATGTTCAGAGCTTATTTATTTCTGTGCTAAAACAGCAACACTGATTAAATCAATTCTATATCATCGTTTGCTTAAATAATGTGTTCATTTTGTGGTAGGTTCCTCTCCAACCTATTGGTAAATGTAATTTGCTAACAGTTATAGCTACAATTTTTCAGATTGATGGCTAAGTACTGGTCACTGGAAATAATACCATTTTCCAGCTACGAACTTGTGTGCGATACCATTCTTACCTCGCTTGGTAACTCGGTTTTGACTTTTGTTGATATTACGTTGAATTTAGTGCGAGCAACATTTTAATCGGCTGTATCTTCCGTTGTGTACTTGTGTAGGATATTTTTTGACGCGATTTAAACTTACTAACAAAAAGTATTTATATTAGCTTCCTCCCTGTGACGGCTCTTACTAAATCGCTCGCCCAAAAATTTCACGTGACTTTGGTTTTTTTGGTTTTGCAGCCGTACAAAACGGTTTTACATAAATCTAATCACAACCCTAACCCTAACCATAACCCCGAAGCTATCCATAATCTTAACCACAACCCTAACCATAACCTTCACATAGCCATGTGTCTACGCGTACTGCGTGACGCGCTTGTTTCGGCTTACTGGGCCGCGCTCAGCCTGTCATTCCGCCAAATCTTTATTCAAATGTTTATGAACATAATAGCCTGGGGTCCCCAGGTAAGTTTCGGCGGTCGCGCGCTACTGCAAGCGAAAGGGCTCTGGTTAGTAGAGCAACCAGAGCAATAAAGCAAACCCTAACCCAAGCCCTAAATAATCGAATTCACGTTTTACTAGCCTGTCACGTGACCAAAACGGTTTTTTGCCCATAACTCACCAGGGAAGCATTTTAACCCTACGTCATGGGGGGTGATTCGGAATCAGCGTCCAAAAATACACCGATCTAGATCGCTTTCATGCCTAAAGGGCCTTTTCACAAGAATTTTCTTAAAATTTGGGCGAGCGATTTAGTAGGAGTGCCGGCCCCGTGACCACGGGTTTTCTAGTACTATATAAATTATAATAGGGGGTGCACGATTGACGATAAAAATAAACTTGCTCGGATTTTTAAAATTTTTGTACCATTGTTTTCTAGAGACTGTGAGAATTTCCACAGTACCAAATTTGTTATAGTTATACCTTTTTGGAAAGATCAGTGAGTTTCGCCTAAAGTGTAAAGGTGCCATATTTGATGGTGCGCGGCTTTTGGAGCAAATGTAGCCGTAAAAGTCGCGTAATTTGACGAATTTCGTTGATTTTTGTCATATTATTCTGTTATATCTTCGGTTCCTTGAATGAGATCATTCTGAAATCTGGCGAAGACCTTCCAATAGGGTTTTCACTGTCCGAAAAATTTGGTGGATATCGGAGTATATATATCGAGTTGATATAGACATAGTAATTTAATCAAAACGGGGCAAAATACGCTGCTTTTAGCAGTAACATAATGTCTGATGGTTGGATCAGGATATGCTTTAAATTTTTTGGACACTTTTCTTGTAATAGTCTATGAGTATAAAGCTTACCAATTTTTATATTATGTTTATGAACATAATAGCCTGTCAACCTGTGGTCCCCAGGTAATGGTTTACATTTAATTGTGCAAAGTTTCATAGAATGTATTACAATTACATTTCAATTACTAACTTAGCGAGTTATTATTATATGTCCAATTTAAGGTTAAGACTGGATCTGGAGGAGTAGAAATTACTATGAAATAATTTCTACCGGTATTTTGTCGAGGTGAACATCCTGCATCCTTAGAACATCATCGATTTGCTTAAATATCAAAAAAATATCAACCAGGAGCTGGAGACCAATCTTACAGTTACAGGTTCTAATCCGACGTATCAGAGCTACTTCAGCTAGTGACTAGTTAAATTTTAAAATTTATTTGGTTTTGAATGCCTTAGAGTTCGAGCTTCCATTTAAATGTCCGGTCAAATAAGGTCCGATAATCAATAATGTAACTAACATTATATATAATAATATATTATAATTTTATTATAATAGCTATTATATCCACTTCCAGGTATAACTATAAATGCGAATCGATAAAACGGAGTACGAAGTAGACTTGAAGTCGTATATTCTTGATCAGCTAGCCTAAGAAATCTCTAATACAAAGCCGAACCGCAAGGAGAACGGCACCTTTTATTTTGTATTTATGCTTAGCTTGTTATACCTTATCGGACCTTATTTGGACGGACATTTCTTGAAGTTGAACGCTGGAACGCTGGAGGCCCTAGCGTTCACGTTAATGTCCGTTCAAATAAAGTCCGTTCAATTAATGTTCGTCCAAGTTAAAGTCCGTTGAATTTTTTTTTCAAAAATTTTTCCATTTCGAACTTTTTGTCCAGAATATGACAACTGTTTAATTTCAGTCAATTTCAATTGCTATCATTAGACTAAACTATATCGTTGAATGAATAAAAACAAGGTATCATAAAATTTTAACAATCTGAATTGTAAATATCACATTATTGCATGATCACTATCTTGAAGTTGATCTTCGGCTTCTTCTACCTCATTCTGTCTTACAACTGGTTGTTTGTCCAACTCGTAGTCGTACCGGGCAATAATCGATCCCAACTGCTCTACTAGAGAGATACTTGAATGCCTAAAGTACAGCTTAAGCTGTATCTCTAGCCCCCCACTTGGTATAGGCGACCTTCGGTGGCTTATGTCAGCTACGATACCTTCTAGTTTCTACCATACCACCCATCTCGATAAAGTAGAAGACAAACCGGGATATATCTCCCTAGGTATGAGACCGACGGTATATAATCTAGTCCTATAGGTACCTTATCTGCACAGCGCAGATAAGCTTAATGTATAAAAATTATTTGCTAAAATTAAAAAAACTCCAAAAAAAGATGAATAAAATTCGGATTTTTGATGGTTTTGATTGCCTTCTAGCGTTCATATTAATGTCCGTTCATAATTATGTCCGTTCAAGTAATGTCCGTCCAAATAAGGTCCGATAAGGTAAGTAATTTAGAAGGTACTTGGCCGGATATCATAACAATGATTTCGGCTCATCATAATAGCATGATCAGGGTAGCATGAAACGTAGAGAAAAGTGTTTTCTAGGAAAAAGTCAAGGGGGGGGGGGGGGGGGGGGGGGGTCAGGCCATGATTACGTAATATTGCTGTCAGGAGGGGGGGGGGTTGGGTCTTGATAATGATTACGGTTGATTACGGAAGGGGGGGAGGGGGGTAAAAATTGCTAAAATATTGATTACGTAATATGTGAACGACCCCTTAATACGCCATCTAATTCTAAGCTTAAATTCAAAATGCATGAACAGTACCGTTTTTGTTTTCAACTACTTGGAATTTAAATATCGTTAGTTTGATATTTTCAGGTTGCACTTGTAAAGAAGAGGGAGTGTT